AGGAAAAAAAAATCTTGTAGGATTTTGTTTGGCATTGTGTTGAATCTACAGATCAGTTTGGGAAGAACTGGCATCTTACTACTGATTCATGAGCATGGTACCTATCTGCAATGATTTAGGTGGTCCTTAGTTTCTCTCACTAATAGTCTTAGTTTTCAGTGTGAAGATTTGGTCTTACACATATTCATTACATTTATTCCTAAGCATTTCCTATCTTTGTGCTGTGGTAAATGGAGTTGTTTTAAAATTTAAGTATAAAATTGTTTGTTGGTGATGTTGAAATAGAATTCATTTTGGTAAATTTATTTTGTACCCGAAACCTTGCTAAACTTACTAGTTCTGTTAGCTTTTTTGTAGATTTCTTAGGACTTTCTTTGTGATAATCATACCATCAGTGAATAAAATAGTTTCTTTCTTTTTTTCCCACGAGGATATCTTTTATTTTATTTTATTTTTGTCTCACTCCAGTACAATATTGAATAAAAGTAGTGAGAGCAGACATTTCCCTGCCTTGTTCTCAGTCTTGGGGGTAAAGCATTCAGTCTTTCATAGAAAAATATATAAAATATGTATTTAAGGTGCCTTTTTATCAGATTGAGGAAGTTCCATTCTATTCCTACTTTACAGAAATTTTTATCATAAATGTTGAATTTTATCAAATATCTTCTCTGATATCTATTGAGATGCTTGTATGCTTATGTTTTTAAAGTTATTACTATAGTAAATAGAAATATCAAGTTACTGATTTAAAAATGTTAAACCACCTTGCATACCTGAGATGAACACAACTTAGTGATGATGTACTATCCTCTTATTTTTCAATTTGAGTTTTTAAACTTTTGTTAAAGTTTTTTTTTCATCTATTTTTTTCCACTTTTATAGGCTATATTCATGTATGAGGGGGATTCATTGTGACAATTGTGAAACATCATTTTCTCGAGCATAGTGACTTGTAATTTCCTTTCCTTGTAATGTCTTTGAGCTGGGAATTGTTCTCTCCTTTTTTTCTGGAGGAGTTCATATAGAATTGGTATTGTTTCTTCCTTAAACATTTGGTAAAATTTGCCAGTGAAGCCACCTGGGCTATCCAATTTTCTTTGTGGCAGTGTTTTTAATTTAATTACAGATTCAGTTTCTATAATAAATACAGGTCTATTTGGGGTATCAGAGTGCACTTTGGTAGTTTGTGTATTTCAGAGAATTTGTATTTATGTCAGATTTATGACATAAATACAATGACATTTCTAAGTGTACTTTTAGATCTGTCAATTTCTTCTTCTACGTGTGTGTACCTAAACATATGTATTTGGGGGGTCACTATATCATTTTTTTAATTAATTAATTCCTTTATCATCATAAAATGTCCCCTCTGTACTGCTGTGATATTGCTTGTTCTGGAGTCAACTTTGAACTTCAGTACACTCCTTTCTCAAGAATTCTGCCTGTGTTGTTTCTCAAAAAAAAACCTAACTGGAATTCTAATTGAGATTGCATTGGATTTATTGGGGGATAAATGATGTCTTCAAACCATCATCATCCCATCTAAAAACATAGAATGTCTCTCCATTTATTCACAGCATCTGTATCTTTTATTGGAATGTTAAAGTTTTTTCCCACAGAGGCCAGACTCTTTGTATTAATTCTTATATTGGTTTTATTTCCTGTGAGTAATATCTATTTTATATTGTTTAAGTTGGCTTCTATTAGTGTAGAAAAATGGTCCCAAATTTTAGGTTGATCTAATATCTGATAGCTTTGCTAAACCTATTACTTCTAGTAGCATATTCATCACATATTCTAGGTATTAAGTTTCAGATGTCTGTGACATCCAGTTAGATTCATAGAATAGGAAGATGAGTGTACAAGTTTGTAGTCAAGAGAGACGTCCAGAGTAGAGATATAAATTGTGGACTATCAGTATACAAGTGTTCTTTAAAGTCATATGACTAGATATGAGCACCAAGGGAATGAATGTGCATAGAAAAGAAAGAGATCCCAGAAGATGTGGATAAGTTGAGGTAAGGAAAAAAAAACACAGAAGGAGCAGCAAGAGAAGCAAGAGGAAAGCAAGAGTAGTGTGCAGAGCCAAGTGAAGAAGTGTTTTACTCTTACGCAGTCTGTATGTCTGCCTCCTCCAACAGAAACAAGTCCTTTGAGAACTTACTCTTAACCTGTCCTATGGGCAGAAGCAGTGAAGCCTTGGTCATGTCTGAACTCTATGCCTTGGCTTCTTCTGTTAAATAGCACTAAGAGTATCACTTACTCATGTGACTTAGATGAGTTAATTCATGGGAGAACTTGGTAATAGACATACATAGTAAGCACTCATTAAGTATTACTCTTTGTGTACCATTGTTTATAGCACAGTATTGATAGAGTTAGTCTTGTTTGATCAGTAGAGTATTTGAGGGAGAGGAGGAGAGGATGAGCTACAGTTAATACTGGAATTCTATATGAAGAACTGATGAAGCTAGCAGTGTAGGAAAGTGCATCTGGCAAGAACCTGTTCTTAAATCCCCAAGTGTGAAATTTATATATGGATAGCTACTCAAAAAAACTGAGTGACTAAATAGTAACTTAAGAAAATGGGAAGAGGGAATCTATAGATTGATTATAAAGGATTTAAGAAACAAATCACCCATATGTAGTATATGGATCCTGATACTAACAACCCAGTTTCAGTTTTGGGTTTGGTTTTTGTATTTTATTAATGAGACTGTTAGGAAAACTGGCAATGATAGCAACTTGAAATTCAAGAATTTTTATGATTTTTAAACTAGAATTACGGTTACAAATTAAAAATCACTTTAGTTTCAGAGATATACATAAATAGTTACAGATGAAATTACATGATGTCTGGAATTTCTTTCAGTAATCCAGTAGTGGGGAGAGGTGATGATGGAGTTACAGATGAAACAAGATTGACCCTGAGTTGATTATTATTAAAGTTAAAGATGAACTGTATGGGGTTCATTATAGTATTCCTTCTATTTTTATACTTGAAATTTCCTGTAAGAAGAGGTTTTTAAAAAAAAAAATGTGTTCTGTTTACCACTTGTAAATGCTTAACTTTATTATACTAGATTAGAATTTGAAAAACAAAAAACCCGGCTTAATATTCAGCTTGAATATAGTCGAAATCAGCTTAAGAAGAAACTGAATAAGATCAACACATTAAAAGAAACTATCCAGAAAGGTAGAGAAGACATTGATAACCTAAAGAAGGTAATTTATAACAGGTGCTTAAGTGTCTCTTTGTTGAAATTATGACCTTCATACCTTCATTGAGCAGCCAGTTTGAGTACCTAAAGGGGCCTCTTGGGGGTACCTCATGGGGGTGGGGAATTTGAGAAATACTTACAGTAAAAAAAATGAAGCAGAACTTCATGAAATCCTGGACTCCAGTGGGAAGGAGGACAAAAGGGGGTGTGCCACAAATAACTCAGAATGTAGATAAAAAAATCTGGGCTGGAGTTACAGGTTTGGAAGTTGGTCGTTTTGGGGAATAAATGGAAACCATGTGAGAAAGGTTGAGACTCCCAGGAAGGTAGGCAGTGGAGCAACAATGGGATTCTGGAAGGGTCGGAGTTAGGAGGAGAGTCAGAAGCCCCAGCACTGCAGGAAGGAGGAAGCAATAAAGACTGTTTAAAAAAACAAAAAAGGCAGGCTGGAATGTCTGTTTAATTGGCAATTAGAGGTCCTAGCATCAAGGACACTCACTGGATAGTGGGAATGGACAGATGGCAGCAAGCTGAGGAATGCATCCAAAATGAAGGACTCAGGCAGGTAGTTAGTACCAATTTCTACAAATGTAGGATGAGGTGGGGAGTTGGGGGGTTGGTCACAGTAATGACAGAGGTTCAAGTAGTACACAGGAGGAGGAGGTTTAATTTAGAATGGCTGGGTTGGTATTATTGATAATACCAGAATGTGTTGACATTGTAAATATAAAATGATAAATCTAGAGTGCAAATCCTCTCTGTCCAGAATGAAGAAAACTGTCTGCAAGTTGTAGATGAACTCATGGTGAAGTGGCAGCAAATTAAGGACATATTTGTCACTCAGAATTCCAACATTGAGAAAGTTCAAACTCAGACTGAAGAGGAACGGAAGAAGTTTTTGGCTATTGATAGGTAAATAAGAATTCATCACTTTGGAAGACCTAGATAGTGTTTTAAACACGTGTACTGCCAACTTGAAATTTATTATCTGAGGTTGTGTTTGAATGTGTACCCTTTATTGTTCTTGGTTCCACATAACAACTTCCAAATGTTCTAATTTGGGGGAATAATAGGAGGGGGATTTGTTTAGAATGAATAGTTCTTTCTGGTGGATGAAAACATAAATTTATACAGTCCCTAACCCTGACTTAATACTGCTGTCTTCCGGTTGTCTAGAGATTCCCTCTAGACTGTGCAACAAAGCACAGTAGGTAGAATGGAGCTCCCCAGCCAGGAGACATATCCCAGATCTGCTCCTTACTGTACCTTACTTAATTTCCTTAACAGTAAAAAATGAGGAAAATAAAAGTGCCTGCCTCATAGAGAAGTTGTAAGGGTTGAATGAATGAATATTCAACAGCACTTAAAACACAACCTGGCACCTGATAAGCATGTGTATTTGCCTTGGTGATGAACACAGTGCTTTCAGTCACCTGACTTAACAACAAAGTGATACATCCTTTCTTGTGATTGACATGACTGTAGTAATCAGATGAAATGAGTTATTTTTATGCCCAAACTCTTGGCACATCACAGTTTTCCTCACCATCCAAAGACCTGTTCTTTGTGATTGTAAGTGAAATTAAAACCTATTTACTCCTTTTTTCACTCTTGTATTTAGCTTAAATAGGACTACTTTTGGTTTTTCTTTTCTTTATATTCTTGAAGACCTTGTAGTCCTTTCCTTCCTCTCTCTCGCTCTCTGCCTACTTCTATCCTTGTCTTCCTTCCCTCCGTTTTCTTTTTCTTTGCCTTTTCTTTAGTCTCTTTTTTTTTTTCCTGCCCTCTTTCTGGGCCCTGTGTAAAAGTCACAGTTGGCTCAGCTGCTAAACTTCACTCCCTCATGTTCAGAAGGCCGTTAGTGACAGTGGTAGAGGTTGTACAGAAATCTCAGATTTTTAGTGATGCAGTAACTTACCCGATAAGTATTTCTCTTGCTAAAAGACTTTTTCTTGATTTGACGTTCTAAAATATCGAGCTTATATATATGAGGGAGAAATACAGGTTGAAAAATAATACAGATTTGAAAATAAAGTAATCGGGGCTGGATATGGTGATATCTATATCCATAATCCCAGCACTTAAGTTGAGGCAGGAAGATTTCAAGTTTGAGGCCAGCTCAAACTTGCCACATAGTGAAGCCCTATCTCACTATGAATGAGAATTAATTGAATAACTGAAAGCACTGTATTTTTGCCAGCCCTGACTGAAACAGGAATGTTAATTATTGAAAATTGCTTTCTTGAATTAATTAGTTATGTTCGTGGTGTTTCTCAGGAGTATTCATACTCTAGCACTTATGGGAAAAATAATCTTTCTATAACATAACATTTTTCTTTTTGGTACAACTTTATATAATGACTAAAATCACTTTTTCAAATTTGTATATTTTCAGGGAAGTGGGAAAATTGCAAAAGGAAGTTGTAATCATTCAGACTTCTCTGGAACAGAAACAATTAGAGAAGCATAACATGCTGCTTGATTGCAAAGTTCAAGACATTGAAATAATTCTTTTGTTGGGGTCATTGGATGACATCATTGAAGTAGAGGTACTCCAGCAAATGATTTTAAAATATGTTGTGCAGAACTGAGTGTTATGTCATTTTTGCTTATTATTTCTCTGGTTTTATAGCCTCTTTAGGCATTGGGAAGACATATTCTTATAAGAGGAGAAAAGGGCAAAATGATTGTCATTCCAGAGGACTAGGCATTTTGTGCAATTCTCTGATCTCTCTTGTTAATTCATGCTCCTTTAGCTCCATAGGATGGACCAGTATTTCTTACCTATATATTAAATACCCAAGAGAAAACAGAGAATTAAAGCTGTTCTCCCCATCTGTTCTGCCCTAGACACTCAGAAATGTTCACTTTCATCCAGTTTTCTGCCCTAGAAGCAGACTTAGGTCTTTTTGGATTCTACAGAATAAAGTACCTATAAAACTTAGCTTCTCTTTGATAATATTCATGGTTCACGTAACATAATTCTAGTGTGATATACTCAAAAAGTCTGTCTTTGTTTTGTTTATTGTAATAGAGATAACATTCTGGATAGGAGGTAAGGAAGGGACACTTTCCTAGTCATAAGTAACATAAACCCACTCAAATGGCTTCAGGACTTCAAGGTTAAGGGATAGGGCTGGAATGGAGCACAGGGCTTAATTTAAAAACTTCAAGGCTGTCAGAACTCTTTTTGCACAGTATATATTGGACTTTGTCCTTTCAGATCAGCTTTCCCCACAAGGCTACAAAGTAACCACTAGCTTTGACCAGAGGGGAAGAGAACTCTGCCCTGCCCTCTCAGAAAAATTCTGGGGAAGAATTCTTACTGGCTCATTCTGAGTCATGTTACCCACTCTCGTGGTTATGGAGAAGTGAAAGTGGTATCTGTTATAAGCAAAAGGATGAGGGACCAGAAAAACAGTACATATGGTACACAGAAAATGTCTTTAAAAGTCAAGGTAATTTTAGAAGAGTTTTGTTATAGAATGGAATAGAGAAGGAAACAGTCTTAATGAGTGACATCTGTGTAAATGTTGCTGGTCAGTAACAGTGCTGCTGCTTTGTTTCTATTGCTCATAGGCTTAGTGAATTTTCAGAATTACCCTCCAGCATGCTAACCATGAATGTGAAATTATTTGCTTTTTTATTAGCATGAAAGACCTTCACATTCATGGCAAGGTGTTTCATGACAGGTATTAAAACCTTAAGCTGAATTCATGTTGAATCATCATATCAAAAGAAAAGTGAGAGTTCTAAGCTGATGGTGCATACCTGTTATCCCAGTACACAAGAGGCTGAGGCAGGAAAATTGTGAGTTTGAGTCTAGCCTGAGCTGTCTAGCAAGACCCTGCCTAAAAAGAAAGGAAAGGGCTTTCTAGTTTCCAGTCCAGGATGTAAGGGCTTGAAGTTGCTACTCCATCCTAACAACACGTAAAAAGTTGAATAAACCAAAAACTCCTTAACTCTTTTTGGATCTAATAAGAGATCACAGAGCAAACCACTGCCCCAAAATTGGTGAGACAAACAGCCAAATACAGAGCAGCAACTTCCATGGGGCACCATTGCCACTGCCTTAGGGAAGCCTAAACTGTAATTTGCTAATTGCTGGAAGCTCAGTGGGGACAAGTATGAGAGATGAAAACTCCAGGGGGAGCCAAGGGCTCCAGGGTTACCTCCTGACGCTCTGTCAGGTTCTCACTTAACAAGGGCTGCCGCCCTCAGAAGAAACTACTTAACTAGAGCCTAACCTTTGGGGGCTAATAGGGCCTATCTGACCTGGGGAAGGGAAATCCCCAGCTCCAGCCAGCTCTCACCATCTTGTCCCACTTATGGGAGGAAACAGTAACTGAGAAGTTGGATGGATCAAATTTATTTTTATAGAAAAGTTACTGAGAATCTTTTAAGAGATATATATGCAGGCTGACAGAGTGGCTCAAGTGGTAAGAGCACTTGCCTAGCAAACATGAGGCCCTGAATTCAAACTTCAGTGTCTCACACACACACACGTACAAACACACACACACTATATATATATGCACTTAGATATTGATATAGTTTGAGAAACTGTATTAAAGTTAGTCAAGTGCCTGAAATTTCAATATTGGACTTGAGTATTTATACATTGTATATTAACTCTTTGGATACAAAAACACTGTAGGAGTGGATGATTTGTATTAGGACCTTTGAGCATTTACTTTATGGAGAGTTTGTAAGTTATTTATACACAAGGAAATCTATTTTGTGTCACTGTTGTTTTAAAAGAATTGCATGAAGTCATGTTGTTGCAAATAAAAAGTAGTTTGAGGCATGTAAAAAAATACATGAAAGATCCAGTCCATGCAATAAATAATTGGTAAGCTGAACTTCATTAAAATTTTTCTTCTCTGTGAGACATTATCAAGAGAATGAACAAATAAGTTGTAGGCCAGGAAAAAATATTTGCAAAAGACATATTTGATAAGAATTACTCAAAATATTCAAAGAACTCTTAAAACTCAGGAATAAGAAAACAACTTGATGAAAATATAGGTCAGAGACCTTAACAACACCTCACCAAAGGAGATATAGATGGATATCTATCTATACAGATAATCTATATAGATCTGTCATCTCTATAGATATATAGATACCTACCTATATATCGTAAATAATCATATAAAAAGATATTCCAAATGCAAAGTTAAATGTAACACCATAAACACCTACATTTTAGGTCCAAATCCAGAACACTAACATCATCAAATGCTGGCAAGAATCTTTCATTGCTCGTGGAAATGCAGTATGATAGAGGCAGTTTGGAAGGCAGTTTGGCAGTTTCTTATAAAATTAAACATACTTTTATCATATGACCCAGCCATTGTACAACCTAGTATTTGCCCAAAAGAGTTTAAAATTTATGACCACAGAAAAAACTGTACACAATGTCTGTAGCAGCTATATTCATAATTGCCAAAACTTGAAAGCAGCCAAGATAACCTTCAGTAGCTGAATAGGTAAACTGATACATTCAGACCACCATGCAATATTGTTCAGCACTAGAAAAAAAGTGAGCTATCAGGCCATGAAAATACATGGAGGAAACTTAAATGCACATTGGTAAGTAAAAGATGACACTCTGAAAAGACTGTCCAATTCTAACTGTATGACATTTTGGAAAAGGCAAAATGATAGAGACAGTAAAAAAACTGAGTAGTCACCAAGGGTTAAAGGGGAATGGTAGAATAGGCAGCACATAAAGTAGACTGTTCTGCCTAATACTGTAATTGTGGAATACATGTCTTTGTATATTTGTATAGGCCTATAGAATGTATAATATCAAGAAAAGGCCCTAATGTAAACTGTGAACTTTGGGTGATTATGATGTGTCAGTGTAGGTTCATTGCTTTTAACAAATGTACCACTTTGCTGGGGGATGTTGACAGTGCACACTTTATATTGTGGGTGTGGTCCATGAGAAATCTCTGTCCTTTCCTCTCAATTTTACTGTGAACCTAAAACTGTTCTAAACTCCTCCACTCTGTGCTAGTTAGGCCACACTGGAATATTGCATTTACTTTTTAAAGCATGATACTTTTTAAGAGTACCATGCCCAGGATAGTGAAGAAAGCCCAGACCAGGCCTTATTGGAAGGGGAGTGCTAGGGACAGATATGAAGAAGGTCTGTCATGTGGATCACACTTGTTCTTTCTGGTCCTTGGGTATACTAGGTCGAATGCAGGAAGCCACAGGATCAAATTTCTCCTGTTAGGGAACACTTGGCAGGTCTCTGGTGGTGAGTGTCCTGACTAGAATCTTCTAAGTGTGTCTAGTAGTGACCATGTACTGGTGGTGCTGTCCTAAGTATTATGCAAAGCCCAGAATGCAAAAGGCTTAGGTATGACTTTTCTTTCTCCAGAGGGCTGAACATTGGTTAGTGGGCAGGAATGACTGTCTTACAACAATTACTGTGGAAGTAAGTGTCCATACTTGTGAGATACAACTTGAGACTCCCCTTCCATTGCAGGTGTTCAGGTGACTCATCTATGCCTGTCATGATTCTCATATTGTTGGGGGGAGACTTACTAGATATTACTTACCAGATTGTTATATACAGAGGAAGTGCATTTGCCTAAGAGTCTGCATTCCCAACAGCCCTGCTGAAGCTGTTGTTACTGATCTACAGCCCACACTTTTGACTAGCAAGGCACCAGTTGACTTACATAGAAGTCATGGTTTGTTTTTGTTGTTGTTATTATTTTTAAATAAGGTAAGGTCTCACTATGTAGTCCAGGCTGGCCTTGAACTTGCAATCTTCCTGTGTTAACTTCCCAACTACTGGGATTACAGGTAAGCACCACCACACCATGCCTGGCCATGTATCGAAGTTTAATACAAATGAGGACATCAAATCACACACAGGAATCTTGACATTTAGAGCTTCTTTATTACATTTTTGTATTCAAGTTCAACTTCAATTTTATGTTCAAGTTCAAACTAGGCTTTGAAACCAGGGTGTCATGGTAGCTAGGCAAGCAGTTTACCACTCGAACCACACCTGCAGCTTCAAGTTCACCTTCTATGTGAGCTGTTTTAACACATACATATTACATAAGATGTATACTTAGTTCAAAAAGTAGTTCCATTGAGTTTGTGTTAGCTGAGAACATCTACAAAGATGTTGTTCTTCTAAATCTTGGTTTGATGAGCATTACACCAAAGGCCAGCCCACAGCTGCGTAAGTGCTCATTTATTTGTTGCTTCTTTCCTATTCTTTCCTTTCCTGCAAGCATAATATATTTTGAAGTTGAAATGTATATTAGTTTTTGCACTAGGCACTGAGAATTCAGCAATGAATATAACACCCAAAATTATTCTTCACATTCTAGTGGGATAGATACAAACAAACAGACAAATGATAACTAAAATATTTTGTATTAAGTAATGACATATGATGAACAAGAAATAAAGCAAGAAAGGGAAGGCAGAGTGGTGAGGGGGGTTGCTTATAGCCTTAGGTGGCAAGGCCTGGGACAGCCTGGAAGAAGGCAGCCAGTGAGTAGAGGAGGTAAGAGGTGAGCAGACATCTAAAAGAGGTTGTCCAGGCAGAAAGAGCAGCATACCAGACCTGAGAGTGGCATATCTGTTTGTATAGGGAGCAGAGTGTGCCAGGAGACTGGCACATGATGAAGTTAGAGGGCAGTGTTGGCCATCATAGGACTGTTAGCTTTTAGTCTGAATGAGGTGACAAGCAACTGAAGGACTAGGGGCAGAGAGAGAGTACCGATCACCATTTCAGATAACAAGAGTGTCATGTGTTTTTCAGTTGGGAACTGAAGCGGAAAGTACCCAGGCAACAACTGATATATATGAAAAAGAAGCAGCCATCGAAATAGACTACAGCCCTCTAAGGGATGACTTGAAGGTAATTGAAAGATTTCTGTTTCAGAATGAATCACAGTAATATTAAACACTTAAACACTGCAGGATAATTTTTAGATGGCACAGTGTAAGGCTTTTTAAAAAAGATTTCTGAATTGTTTTTGAAGAATATAAAAAGGAAAAAATTGTTACTTTAACAAATCTGACACCAAATAATGTGAGTCTCTTTCCCATCAGCTAATTCTGATTCTCTGAGCACCAACTGGCCATCCTAGAGTTCAGTTCAGTTCTGGCACTATCTGTCTGGAGTACCATGCCATCAGATCCTACAAGTTAATGGCTTAGTCCCACAGACTTCCCACCCTTCAGACACCAATCACGATTTCATATTTCTGTACTTCTGGCCAACTGACAATAAATGAAGAGATTCCCATAGTTTCCATCTTCGGTTAGATAATTTGTTAGAATGGCTCACAAAACTCAGGGGAATACCTTATTTACATTTACCAATTTATTATAAAAGATAAAAACTCAGGAAGAGCCAAATGGAAGAGGTGCATAGCACCAGATGTGGGCAAGGGTGCAAAGCTCCCTTGCCTTCTCATGCCTCCTCTAGGTCCCTACCCTTTCAGCATCTCCCTGTGTTCAACCCTGATATCCTCTTCTCCCATAGGCATGGCTGATTAAATTGTTGCCCATTGGTGATGAAATTCAACTTCCAGCCTCTCTTAACCCTCAGAGGGGAAGGGCTAAAAGTTCCAAGCTTCTTCTCACATGGTTTGTTCCTCTAGCAATCAATCCTATCCTACAAAAGTTGGCTTATTAGCATAAACTCAGGTGTGGATAAAAAAAAAACACATTATGAATCACTTAAGGTATTCCTTCAACCTATCACTCAGAAAATTCCTCGTGTTTTAGGAGCTTGGAACCAGGAACCATGATGAAAGCCAAATTATACATTTCTTATTATATCACAAAATAGTAATAAATAGGTTATTTCTTTTCTTTTTTTGAGGCAGACTTGTAGCACAGGTTGACTTTGAACTCAAGATCTTCCTGCTTTAGCCACTCAAGAGCTCGGATAACTGGTGTGCATCACCATGCCCAGCAGTGGGTTACTTTTCAGTGTTCATGTTCAGCATTTCTCACTGTGTGTTCTGCACAACATCAGTACCACAAAATGTCTAGCCACAAAAGGAAAGTTTGTGAGTCTTTTCCCTTCTTGTGGGTTCACAGTGCACATAAAAATCTTGCAAAGTCTTGTGGTAGACAAAAGTGACCACCTATTCCGACATCCTTTCAGTGTCCCAGTGCAGTCCCCACAGTGGGCACAGGGTACTTCTCCCACAGTTCCATAGGTGAGAGGGTGGGAAGCTCTCCACAGTTACAGGGAACAACCTGGACTGCCACTCCCAGTCCTTTTAAATGTAACACCTATGGCTGTTCCTGCATCCCTATAGCCATACATTTCTTTGACTTCATCTGGAGGCTACTTTTAGGGCACAGTGACTGTAGCCATTTAGGCTAAGGAAGGCTGTCTTTTGGGGTGGTGCTGTTTAAGATTGAAAGTTTTCTTATAAAGCCCCAGCAGTTGTCCTCTCATCACAGCAATCTGGGTGGGATCACATGTTCATTCCTGAACCAGACACTGGCTGGAGAGGTGAGGGGTAGATGTAGCATTCCTCTGAGAGGCAGGCCCACTCCTCACTTAGTGCATGGGCTCCTCATGTAGGATGGGTTAGCCAAAAGTATGGGCTGTGTTGGGAAGAAAGGGAGATGAATGCTGAGTAGCAAAGTCCATGACATCTCATAGTTTCATGACATCTCATGTGTTAACAGATTTGTGAGATCTGTTGGGCTTTTTGTATTTGTGGCATCTTTTGGCACTCAGAAAGTGGATTTTTTTTCCTCTCAATAGTTTTCTGTTTAGTATTTCTCTCTTTGCTTTTGTGTTTAGAAAGTACTTTACCACCTTATTACCCAGTAAGTATTTAATAAATATTTTTGTGTCTATGATTTTCTTTTGCCTTTTTAATTCATTTGAAGTTTGTTTTAGTATATTGTATGATATAAGCACTAATTTCTTAAACATTACCCAAGTAACCAATTTACAAGTAACTTTCTTCTTAGTGAATTAAAACCTGATTTTATCATGTATTAATTAACCTCCTGTAGAAGTCAAGAAAGTTTTCCTGAAAGGGCATGGCTGCATTTTTCCCCTTCTTTCCTCACTGCAGTTAGTTCTATTCATCCATTCATCTACCAAGTTTCAGGTTAAGTATTAAACTCTAACTGGCTTGGATCCCCTCTCTCCCTTGCAGTACCTATATTTTCCTAGTAGGAGGTTTTCATCCTGTTGTAAATGCCAGTTTATATTTCGGGTTTCCCTGTGAGCTCTTTAAAGGCAAAGAGTGAATAGTTTCCATTATTGGTTCTTTCATGCCTAATCTATAATAGATGATCAATATATTTAGTGAACAAGAAAATTATGACGCTATATGAATTTCTACTTTTTAGCCAGATTAAAAAATAAGGTGGTAAAGCATGTTTCAAGAGCAGTGCATGTAGCACTGGAGCCATGAAGGCACAACTGAGTAGGGAGCCACAGAGAACTCAGCGTGACTGGCTGCAGGCTAGATGGTGACAGCCTGTGCGCAATTTGGAAGTAAAAGGGGTGCCAGTCAGTGTTGTTCTTTGCCAATAATAGGCTCTACAGTCGGATAAAGAGGTGGAGGACCATCTTACCCTTCTTCTGCAGCAAGTAGCATCCCAGGAAGATGTTCTGTTGAAGACAGCAGCCCCCAACCTACGAGCCCTGGAGAACTTAAAGATTGTCAGAGACAAGTTTCAGGAGTCCACAGATGGTGAAATTGAGTTTATAGTTGCTAACAAGATTGTATTCATAGGTGTTCTGATTTATATAACATGCAGTAACAATCCGCCTGAACTGTACCTTTCTTTTTTTGTTATATATTTTTCTCTGCTGTTTTATATTAATGTATACCTTTAATACTGAAGTACTAATTTCTTTGATGAAAAGTATTCTGCTTTAATTTAAAAACAGGTTTGTTGTTTTAGAACAATTATTTAAATTTTCATAACAGCAAAGTAGGCATATTGAGAACTTTCATCAGTATTCTTTAGAAATTAGCCCTGTCAGAAAAAGGACTCATCCATTGTAAGATCTGTGCTCTTAAATGAACAGTAATTGAGGTATTTTGAAGGTAAATTTACTTAAGACAACCAAATTCAAAATTCAGCTTAAAAGTATACATTTTTAACCAAGAGAAGCTTCTCTGTGGTCTGTCAAATAAAGAACATTGATTCTCTCTCAGCTTTTGAGGCCAGCAGAAAGGAAGCCAGAATGTGTAGGCAAGAGTTTGAGCAGGTGAAAAAAAGGAGGTGCGATCTTTTCAGCCAGTGTTTTGAGCACGTCTCCATCTCAATCGACCACATCTATAAGAAGCTCTGCAGAAACGACAGTGCCCAAGTACGTGCTTCCACCAAGATATTACAGGAGTTTGTAGTATTGATGTTTTTAGTTGTTTTTTTTTTTCCCCTGGCGGGAAATAAATAGCCCCTGCATATTTTTTGACTGACTCACTTGAGGGAAAGTCAGTTCCTGAAGACTGGTTATCTCATGACCTGTGTTCTTGATTCCATACTATGCTGGCAGACAAGTCAAGTCAAACAGGTCCTCTTGGGTCTGTTTCTTTACCTGAAAAATGAGTGGTTTGGGTCATTTGGTTTCCAAGTGCCAAAATTGTATTTTCTGGTAGTAATTTGACATTTTATAGAACTGTGGGTCTCTGTGGTAAAGGTAAAGGGTCAATGTGAAGGATCTTGGAGAAACAGGTGGTTGATCTCTGGAGTTGACCAGAGTATCAAAGGAGAGAGGAAGAACTAAAGGCACAATCTAATCCAGACTTGTCCCTTTCAGTGATAGTCTCTTGGCTATAACCAGCTACATTCCATCACCAACATACACAGTGAATACTTGTGGAACCAAATGTCAGGTAGATGGAGGTCAGGACTTACATACCTGCTCTGCTTTGGGCTTATGTTCTTTTATGACTGAGGTGATCCTAGATCCTGTTTTAGAATTTCAATTGGAAATACCTTATTTTCAGAAAAGTACCACTAAACAATTAACTCCTTGCAAATAGGTATAGTGTATGGCCTATAGTAAGTGTTCAGTAAATATTTGATCACTGAGTGAATTGGTGAAGACTTTTTAATAATACTGTAGCATGTGCTGCTGAGGTTTGACTGGCAGTCTATTGGAAAGGCCTGATCTTTGGGTGTGTAAGAATGCTTTCTCTACTCCCTTCACCCAGCCCAGACAACCCTGTTGTCTGTGATTAAATGTAGACTAAATATAGTATTTTTAAGCATCGATGTTTTTCCATCAAAATTTGAGAAAAACATAACCAATAGAATATTTTGCATTTAAACTATCTTGCCACCCCAAGTTGAAACTTTCTAGCTACTTTTCTGATATGACTAAATAAATAACATGTATTTCAGGCATTTCTTAGCCCAGAGAACCCTGAAGAACCTTACTTGGAGGGAATTAGCTACAACTGTGTGGCTCCAGGCAAGCGGTTTATGCCAATGGACAATCTATCAGGGGGAGAAAAGTGTGTGGCAGCTTTGGCTCTCCTGTTTGCTGTACATAGGTAAAGTCACAACAAACCACTGTTTTGTATCAGGGCAGAAACCAAGTGGACTGTCTTACAGAAGATCTAAAATGATTTGTCCTTATTGATATTTACCAAATGTATACAAAACTTTGCTTTAGCCAGACAATCCAGGTTATATTTTAGGCCTACAGTAATTTAGACAGCAAATTCAAGAATTCAGTCTTGACACATTTTATTATCAATAACTAATGATTTTCCATCTTTATAGAAAAGTAAAAAGAAAAAATTTATGGGACTGGGGATTTGAACTCAAGGCTTCACACTAGCAAAAGCAGGCACTCGACTGCTTGAGCCATACCTCCAGTCCGTTTTGGTCTGGCTATTTTGGAGATGGGGGTCAGCCTTGCTGACCTCGAACCTCCATCCCCCCCATCTTAGCCTTCCAAGTAGCTAGGATTATAAGCTTGAGCCACTGGCACCCAGTTTTTTGTTTTGTTTTGTTTTTGCAGTGCTAGGGATTGACTCCAGGGCTTCACGCATGCTAGGCAAGCTCTCTCCCACTGAGCCATAGCCCCAACCTCCTAAAAGAAAATTTGGATTGGCCTGATAGGACATCAGAATTTAAAACACACACACATAAAACTTATATATTATTTTCCTGGTCTGTGTTCAGAGATCTACTATTTAGTACTTCTTCTAAAAATGTGTATTTAACACCTGGTTTCCAGTAATGATGACGATAGTGTTTCCTTGAAGTATAAATCAGGAGACAAAAAGTTAGCTAAAATTAGCCAGGCATGGTGATTTATGCTTATAATTGTAGCTACTCAGGAGGCTGAGATATGGGGGATCAGCGTTCAAGGCCAGCCCAGGCAAAAAGTTAGTGAGACCTCCATCTCAACCATTCGCTGGGCATGGTGGCATGTGCCTATCATCCCAGCTGCAAGGGAAAGTACAAATAGGCTTGGGGTCCAGGCTGGCCTGGGGATAAAGTGAGACCCTGTTTCAAGACTAACCAGTGCAAAAAGGGGTGGCCGAATCGCTCAAGTAGTAGTGTGCCTGCCAAGAAAGTTCAAAGTCCTGAGTTCAGTCCCCAGTACCACCAAACCAAACCAAACAAAACAAAATCAAAAAGCTAAAACTGAGGCAATTGCTAGCTTTCAACATTTGAAGCAAAAGGTGAGGATCCAAGGTGTAAGGGCTGCTGCTTGTCTGTTACCGTGACCAGAATCGTAAGAATGTAAGAGCTGGGTCGCAGTGCTTTACTTGTCACAGAGGGGAAAAGGAATAGGCCCCCACTGGAAAGGAAAAGAGAAAACCATTATTGCAGAGGTGCTCTGGGAAAGCAGGAGCTGGCTCCAAACACAGGGTTGCAGTGGAGCAAGGCTGTCACTAGGTGGCACTCCATCCTCTGTGTGGCAGGTGTTTCCTAAAGTGCTGGTGCAGGCTGGGGGAGATCCTGTGAACAAAACAGAATGCCTCCCTCAAAAGATGCTGCATTTTAGTTATGGGAGACAGGTGAATAAGTAAGATGTGCTAGTAAAATAATTCTCTAATACAGAGAGTACTTGAAAATGACAAGTCTTAAAGAGAAAACAAATACAGCAGGAAATGGAAATAATGGGTGACAGGAAAGGGTTTGCAGTATCAAAAAGTGTCAAGGAAAGCTTGTTTGAGAAGGTAACATTTGAGCAAAGATTTGAATTAAGGACCAAATGATTTGGATGGCTAAGGGAGGAATGTTGTAGATATGAGGACAGCAAGTGCAAAGGCCTTGAGCCCAGGGTGAGCCTTCATGAATAGAGAATACTTTCCGCAGCAGTGGCAGGCACAGGACTAGGAAGCCGTTGTAACAGTCAGGGTGAAATATGATAATGGCTTGACCCAGTTTGAGAGCCAAAGGCTGAGGTGTGAAGGAGTCCAGGATAGGATGAATCCACGGGTTTGGCCTACCATTAACTGAGGTGGAGAAGACCACAGGAGGATGTAGGAGGAGGCAAAGGTAAGGAGTTTGCTTTTGAATGAATATTGAAGTATTAGATAGATATCCACGTGGAGTTGCTGAGTAAGCAGTGGGACATGCAAGGAGAAAGTTCAGAACTATTGATGAAGTATAGGAATCATCAGATTTTTTTGGATTTTTGTGTGGTGTTATTTTGAGACATGGGCTTACTATGTTACCTAGGCTGCCCTTGAACTCATGATTCTTCTGCTTCCACCTGGGATTACAGGCATGAGACATCATGCCAACAAAAAAAGCCCCTTTTATTTCTCCTTTTGAAGTGCTGGGTATGTAGAGATGGAACTCAAAGCCTTGCACATGCTAAGCAAACACTATCACAGAATTACATCCCCAATGCCTTAAGAATTTGGATGATATTAAAACTTTGGGAACAAATAAAATCACCAAGGGAGCTAGTTAGACACAAGAGGGCTGTAAGAACCAAGCTCAAAGGTACTGCAGTGTACAGGAGTTACAGAGATGAACTGGCAGAAGATACTCAGAAGGAGCAATGGGTGGGAAGAAGCTGACTGTCATCTCAATAAGCATTGTTTCAGGGACCAGGACATGACCAGCTCCAAATCCTCCTTGCATAGGTGGTCACATAGGCTACACATTAATAATTGAGCACTGGATTTAGCAACAGAGGTCACTGATGACCTAAAGAAGAGTTTCCAAAAAGATGTGTCTCACTTATTCTAAGTACTGTACATCCTTTCCTTCAAGTCTCATAAAAATGGAAAATTGGTAACTTACTAGACTAATTTTTTTCTAGTTTTCGGCCTGCTCCATTCTTTGTTTTAGATGAAGTAGATGCAGCCCTGGACAATACTAACATTGGAAAAGTAAGTTTCTTTCTGCTTTTAATACTACTGTAATACTAGATTCATATTGTAGTCAGAAAGCAAATTTACCCTGAATGAACAAGACTGTGGGCCTAGCAATAATTGCTCATTAAAATCAGCACTTTTAAAGTCTAACTTAAATATCCCAAAACAAGTTGTTTTGGTCATTTTCATGCAGGATTTAGGGAACAGAAGTCAAGTGAGGGTCCCTGCACATGGTCAGCAGCATTACCACTTCCACAACTTGCTTCCTCTAAATCTGGGTGTTGGGAATTAGCAGGTCCCTGATAGCACAGGCCCTGTGGCAACAGGTTTATGTGGTTTCACAGGTCAAAAGAGTTGTTTATTAAAGTCCAACAATAATGTCTCTAAATAAAACTCCAAATGAATTAAAGTTCAAAACTCTGCCACCTCAGTTTTATCAAAATTTATCCAGTTACTGTGCTGTGTACAATCCTATTTTCATTATCTGAGACAGAAAAAACTAAGGCCATGGTTTAACTCTTGACCTTAAATTTGAGTCAGCACTCAGATGTAAAGCTGCCTCCAAGACACTCTTTTCTGCTTTCACCTCTCAGAAATTACAGGAAGGAAGTCTGCCGTGGGATGTGAACAAGGGATGTAGCAAACACTGGCAGTGCCTGTCCTTGTCCAGGGGAGGGAAGTGCTCCAGCTTACAGAATTCCACCCATTTTGGAGATGGATGAATTAGACTTGCCTGGGTCTGATTCCAGGTCCATTGTCTTCCAGACATGACTGGGCTTTGCATTTGTGGCTGCTTACAAGGAGGCTGCTCTGTTTATGCTGACAAATACATTTCTCAGTATTTATTAGCAAATTGACATTTTGGTTTATAACCTAGTCTTGTGAGCTTGTTTAATGAACTCACCCAAGAAATGTTTTCAGTCCTGGGATGCTGGCCAGCAGGTTCTGTGTCTCTGAAGCTGACCTCCCTGATTTCTTAATTCTGTTGAGTCAGTCAAGGATGCTGAGGAGCTAAGGCCTGAGATAGCTCCTAATGGCACAAAGATAGTCTTTCAGTATTTCCCAAGTTATATTTAGCTAGCCTATGTCCCTCAGGGTCCCTGTTATTCCACATGTACAGGAGACACAATATTTTAACTCTGGACTGAAGGTATGGCTCAAGTGGTAGAGTGCCTGCCTAGCAAGCACAAAGCCCTGAGTTCAAACCCCAGTACTGATAAATAAATACGTAAATATATAAATAAATGCATAAATAAATAAATTCAACTCCACACTCCAAAAAAGTCTGCTAAAAGTCTTCGTGGTAAAAAGAGGGGAAAGAAAATCTTGTCTCTTGAACACCAGCACTACTCTTAGCCAAGAGTAATTTCCTTCTCATCATTCACATTAGCTGGTGACTTATTCTTCACCTGAAGCTGCTTTTTCTGCTCCAGAAACTTGTATCTAATGTCTTGGATGCAGTCAGTTGACTCGTGGCCTGTTTTGGGAATAATCTCCCCTCAGGAGGTTAATTTTTGTCACTTTGTATTCCATATTGTGAGATGTCTATGGACTTCCTCTTTTCTCCCTTACATTTAAGGTACCCTTCTAGCAAAATCTAGATGTTTGCATTGGTGGCATCTCCAGGATCCAGGTTTAACTTAGAAACTCCTGTTAGCATTGGCTTATATATTAAAACCTTTTCAATATCTGTGATCCCTTTGATTTTTGTGTTCCTGCATTCCATTGCTGAATTGAATATGAACAGTCCTACAGTGTGAGCAACTGTGAAATAGCCTCCACTCCCTTTTGAGATCATGGTGTCCAACATTTATCTTAGCCTGGGGGTGTAGCTGAATGGAAGAGCTCTTGCTGACCATGCACAAGACCTTTGGCTCCCATCCCCAACACAAACAACAACAAGAAAAAGCTGGACAAGGTGACTCACACCTGCAATCGTAGCTACTCAGGAGGCAGAGATTGAGAGGATCACTGAGGCTTGCCTGGGCAAAAGGTTCAGAGACCCCCATCTCAACCAATAAAAGCTGGATGTAATGGTACACACCTATTATCCAGCTATGCAGGAAGCATAAATAAGAGGATCATAGTCCAGGTGCGCCAGGCATAACTACCAAACTGTATTCAAAAAGCAAAAGTGGAAAGGGCTGAGGGCATGGCTCAAGTGGGTAGGATTTTCTAAGCGAGCACAAGGCCCAGAATTCAAACCCCAGTACTAGAAGGAAGGAAGGAAGGAAAGGAGGGAGGGAGGCAAGGGAAGGAAAAGAAAAGAATGGGTACATTTAGGGATTCTTGCCTCCCTAAATATAGGTGATTCTCCAAGCAGAATGCTCGTCATACATCTTTGTATCTTAGCTTTCCATTACTATAACAGAACACCTGAAATAATGAACTGAAAAAGGAGAAAAGCTTTGTTTTGGTTCAGTTGTGGAGGTTTCAGTCCATGGTCACTTTCCCATTGCTTTTGGGCCTATAGCAGAACATCTGGTGAAGCATCAGTCACCTCACAGTGACCAGGTAGCAAACAGAAGGGGAAGGGGCCAAAGTCCTAATATTCTTCAGGTAGACAAAGAGACCTAACTTCCTTCCACTAGGCTCCACCTCTTTGGGATACAACACCTTCCGATAGTGCCACAGGCTGGGGATCAAGCTGTAAACACACAGGTCTTTGGGGGACATTTCATATCCGAACTTGGAAGCTTTCCATCTCTTCCTTTTCCTCTCACTATCCCAAGACTTAGAGTCCTGCACCATAGTGGCTGCTAACGCCACAGTTCCTTCGGTGAATGCAGCCTCTTGGCACAGAGTAGCCTTCTTCCTCTCTCATCATCCACCTTAGCTGGTGACTTAGTCCTCACCTAAAGCTGCTATTCCTATTTCAAAAGCTCATGTCTAGCATCTTGGACACAGTAAGGACCAAGATCCACTCCAGGTTCTCAGCTGGCATACAGGATCTTATTAGACTGGTTTTGATAGTTTGAGTCTATGTTCTTCTCATTCTTCAAGATTTGAGTGATTTGCTGACAAAGACACGGTTTTATCCATAGTTTATTTCACTCTTCTCATTTCTTCGGAACTGAGCTTCCTGAAGGAGCCAGATTTCACTTCCAACCAAAGGACTTCACCATGGATTATGAAATCATACACAGTTACTGTGTTTTCCCCAACATCAGTCCTTTTTCATCCTCATAAAATATCTGGGTGGTAGTTTTTATCCAGTTATAAAGGCTGATTACATAGTCCCATGATTACAGCTTTATTCTTTACAATTTCTTTCAGAGTTGGGGGTATAGCTTAGTAGTAGAGTGCTTCCCTGGTGTGCACAAGGCACTGGGTTCAACCCCCTTAGAACTGAAAACAAAAAAACTTTAAAATTTTAGATCATGGGTTTAATGGAGCTGGGTTTTTTGTTTTGTTTTGTTTTACTTACCTCTTACTTTAGAAGCTAAGCTCTTTCCATTTCTGCAGTCATGGTAGATTTACTGAATTAACAGAAAGGTAAGTAAATGTCTCGTCACCTAAAATGGGCAGGCAGAGTTAGAGACATGCAGAACCACTCTCCCCAGACCTCAAATAAGGCCTTTGCTTGCTGGTGACATATGTTTTTCATTTCCTCTTAGGTATCAAGTTACATCAAAGAGCAGACTCAAGAACAGTTTCAAATGATAATCATTTCCCTAAAAGAAGAGTTTTATTCCAGAGCTGATGCGCTGATAGGTATCTACCCAGAGGTAAGAGCGCTCAGACGAAAGGAGGGTCCACATAACTCCATCCTAACAGCATGAGCCTTCCTTCCAAAATGCAGCCCTTTTTTGGGGTGTGGGGGGGTTGGTGTCATATGTGGTACTGGAGTTTAAACTCAGGGCCTTGCTGCTTGCAAGGCAGGCTCTCTACTACCATTGGGTTTTTGCAATTGATAAATATAAGTCCCAAATGGTATTTAATTAAAAGTTAACTTTGCAGGTATTTTCCTTGACAGTCCATAGAGATTTAGGATGTATTTTAAATTAAAGAAGTAAATTAAAAATTGTACAGCAGTATGGTAGTTTGTTCTGTTAAATAGTAGTACACATTAACTTACACAGACCAGACTTAATATTGTATTTCATATTTCTGTAATGTCTGAATATTTTATGCAAAAACAAATGCACTGTGTCAGAGGAAAAAAACTTAATAGAAGCTCCAAGTGGTGCAGTAACTTTTACAATTTGTACACACCTATCTTAAGCCATTCAAATATTTACCTAAGCTAATGGAATAGAGCAACTACTTCAAGACATTCAGTTTTACTTCCTAAGTTTTCTGTTAAGCTACAATAAAAATTAGTTTACATCCCTATGCTACAGAATGTTAGGGGACCACCTGGAAATATGCTGTATGAGGTGACATTCTACCAGATAATTTTTAAAAATCTGGTAAAACAGAAAATCTTTTAGGCAAAAAGAGGTTCCTTTTAATGCAACTGCAGACTCACTTTATGGCCTTATTTTACTTTAACATTTTTTTCCCTAATCAGGAAAACTGACTCAAACTGGCTTCCTTCCATTTCAGCACGACGAATGCATGTTCAGCCGAGTTTTGACCCTAGATCTTTCTCAGTATCCAGACACCGAAGGCCAAGAAAGCAGCAGGAGACACCGAGAGTCCAGACATTCAAGTCTCATTAGAAAGCAGAGTGCTCTTGAATACCCACCAGCTCTAGGAGCTGTAACCTGACCCTGTGAAGGTCAGCCACTGTTTAGTTCCCAAGAACAAATTTCTAGAGAAAGCAGGACCAGCTCAGGATGTCACTGAGGAAAATCTTAATCACTCTAGCTCACTTCAGTTAAGGAGTGTTCAGGCTCCATTCCAGTAGGGAAGGTTTTCTATGACAGTGTCGGATGAGTTTTTGGGAGTTTTGCTTTTTTTTTTTTTTTTTTTTTTAAAGGCAAACTTTAGACCACAACTTAGGTTTTGAGTTAAGCGTGTCCAAAAGTTTTTGAATTCTGCATCATTTTTCCTATGGTCTTGCCTTACACATTAAAGTAATTTTGAAGGAAAATGATTGGTTTTTTGATATGTTGCTTTGCACAGTGCTGGGGATGAAACTCAGGGCCTCCTGTATTCTAGGCAAATGCTGTACCACTGAGCTACATCCTCATCCCTGAAAAGCTTGGTTTTAAAATGTACTAGTTGTAAGGTGGTTAGTAAGTTGTTAAAACTGACTTATAGGAATTTCACAAGGATATTTCAATACTGAAAATATTAATAAAAATTATTTCAAGTGTCTCCAAGTGTATAGTTTTGGAAGCAAAAAAATATGGTGAAAACGAATTCTGTCTGCTTCAATGAAATATGAATTTTTCTAACTATAATTTCTGTTAAGGAAGTACTGAAGAACTTCCTCAAGTAAGGCATTCCCGAGTAACAACTGATTTCACGTAAATACAGCGTTACATGAAGGAAAGAAGGCTGCACACTTTCCATTTTAAAATGATATGAGCAAACTCGGAGGAGGTAGTCTTCTACCTATGTAAGTCTGCTTTTGGTCAAGTGCTAACCCTGGAGCAGCCTCCTGAAGTAATGGAGTCACTTCTGAACAGCACTCGTTTCACATAACAGAACACACTGTGCCTACGAAGTAGACTGAGTCACAGCAAGACGTGATTCCCGCACCAGGGGGGCCTCAGTACAGTGAAAGCCAACCTGTAGAGGAGAGAAGCTGCTCTATGTGTGCTTCATTTTTCTTTTAGTACTGGCTCTGCCATCAAGTCATGAGCTTCTTTCTTCTGTCTTTTTTTTTTAATTTTTATTTTTTTATTATTCATATGTGCTTACAATGCTTGGGTCATTTCTCCCCCATACCTCCACCCCCTCCCTTACCACCCCCTCCGCCCCCTCCCTCTCCGCCCCACCCCTCGATACCCAGCAGAAACTATTTTGCCCTTGTCTCTAATTTTGTTGACAAGAGAGTATAAGCAATAATAGAAAGGAACAAGGGTTTTTGCTAGTTAAGATAAGGATAGCTATACAGGGAGTTGACTCACATTAATTTCCTGTGCATGTGTGTTACCTTCTAAATTAATTCTTTTTGATCTAACCTTTTCTCTAGTTCCTGGTCCTCTTCTCCTGTTGGCCTCAGTTGCTTTTAAGGTATCTGCTTTAGTTTCTCTGCGTTGAGGGCAACAAAGGCTAGCTAATTTTTTAGGTGTCTTACCTAACCTCATATCTCCCTTGTGTGTACTCGCTTTTATCTTGTGATCAAAGTTCAGTCCCCTTGTTGTGTTTGCCTTTGATCTAATGTCCGCATATGAGGGAGAACATACGATTTTTGGTCTTTTGGGCCAGGCTAACCTCACTCAGAATGATGTTCTCCAATTCCATCCATTTATCAGCGAATGATAACATTTTGTTCTTCTTCATGGCTGCATAAAATTCCACTGTGTATAGATACCACATTTTCTTGATCCATTCGTCAGTGGTGGGGCATCTTGGCTGTTTCCATAACTTGGCTATTGTGAATAGTGCTACAATAAACATGGGTGTGCAGGTGCCTCTGGAGTAACCTGTGTCACTGTCTTTTGGGTATATCCCCAAGAGTGGTATTGCTGGATCAAATGGTAGATCAATGTTTAGCTTTTTAAGTAGCCTCCAAATTTTTCTCCAGAGTGGTTGTACTAGTTTACATTCCCGCCAACAGTGTAAGAGGTTTCCTTTTTCCCCGCATACTCGTCAACACCTGTTGTTGGTGGTGTTGCTGATGATGGCTATTCTAACAGGGGTGAGGTGGAATCTTAGTGTGGTTTTAATTTGCATTTCCTTTATTGCTAGAGATGGTGAGCATTTTTTCATGCGTTTTTTGGCCATTTGAATTTCTTCTTTTGAGAAAGTTCTGTTTAGTTCACTTGCCCATTTCTTTATTGGTTCATTAGTTTGGGGAGAATTTAGTTGTTTAAGTTCCCTATATATTCTGGTTATCAGTCCTTTGTCTGATGTATAGTTGGCAAATATTTTCTCCCACTCTGTGGTTGTTCTCTTCAGTTTAGAGACCATTTCTTTTGATGAACAGAAGCTTTTTAGTTTTATGAGGTCCCATTTATCTATGCTATCTCTTAGTTGCTGTGCTACTGGGGTTCCATTGAGAAAGTTCTTACCTATTCCTACTAACTCCAGAGTATTTCCTAGTCTTTCCTGTATCATCTTTAGAGTTTGATACTAAGATCCTTGATCCATTTTGAGTTATATTGGTATAGGGTGATATACATGGATCTAGTTTCAGTTTTTTGCAGACTGCTAACCAGTTTTCCCAGCAGTTTTTGTTGAAGAGGCTGCTTTTTTCTCCATCGTATATTTTCAGCGCCTTTGTCAAAGACAAGTTGGTTATAGTTGTGTGGCTTCATGTCTGGGTCCTCTATTCTGTTCCACTGGTCTTCATGTCTGTTTTTGTGCCAATACCATGCTGTTTTTATTGTTACTGCTTTGTAATATAGTTTGAAGTCAGGTATTGTGATACCTCCAGCATTGTTCTTTTGACTGAGTACTGCCTTGGCTATTTGTGGCCTCTTGTGTTTCCATATAAATTTCATGGTAGATTTTTCAACCTCTTTAATGAATGTCATTGGAATTTTGATGGGAATTGCATTAAACATGTAGATTACTTTTGGGAGTATAGACATTTTTACTATGTTGAGTCTACCAATCCATGAGCATGGGAGATCTGTCCACTTTCTATAGTCTTCCTCAGTCTCTTTCTTCAGAAGTTTATAGTTTTCCTTGTAGAAGTCATTCACATCTTTTGTTAGGTTTACACCTAGGTATTTGATTTTTTTGAGGCTATTGTAAATGAAATTGTTTTCATATATTCTTTTTCAGTTTGTTCATTATTAGTGTATAGAAATGCTAATGATTTTTGTATGTTGATTTTGTATCCTGCTACCTTGCTATAGCTATTGATGATGTCTAGAAGCTTCTGAGTAGAGTTTTTTGGGTCTTTAAGGTATAGGATCATGGCATCTGCAAATAGGGATATTTTGACAGTTTCTTTACCTATTTGTATTCCTTTTATTCCTTCTTCTTGCCTAATTGCTCTGGCTAGGAATTACAGTACTATGTTGAATAGGAGTGGAGATAGTGGGCATCCTTGTCTAGTTCCTGACTTTAGAGGGAATGGTTTCAGTTTTCTCCATTAAGTATACTGCTGGCTGTAGGTTTGTCATATATAGCTTTTATAATGTTGAGGTACTTTCCTTCTATTCCTAGTTTTCTTAGAGCTTTTATCATGAAAAGGTGTTGGATCTTATCAAAGGCTTTTTCTGCATCTATTGAGATGATCAAGTGGTTTTTGTCTTTGCTTCTGTTAATGTGGTTTATTACGTTTATTGATTTTCGTATGTTGAACCATCCCTGCATTCCTGGGATGAAGCCTACTTGGTCGTGGTGAATGATCTTTTTGATGTGTTGTTGAATTCGGTTTGCCATTATTTTGTTGAGGATTTTTGCATCAATGTTCATTAAGGAGATTGGCCTATAGTTCTCCTTTTTGGAGGTGTCTTTGCCTGGTTTTGGGATAAGTGTAATACTGGCTTCATAAAATGTGTTCAGTTTTCCTTCCCTTTCTATTTCGTGGAACAGTTTAAGGAGGGTTGGTATCAGTTCGTCTTTAAAGGTCTGATAGAATTCAGCAGAGAATCCATCAGGTCCTGGACTTTTCTTTTTGGGGAGACTCTTGATTGCTGCTTCAATTTCATTTTGTGTTATAGGTCTATTCAGGTGATTAATTTCTTCTTGGTTCAGTTTTGGATGATCATATGTATCTAGAAATCTGTCCATTTCTTTAAGATTTTCAAATTTATTTGAATATAGGTTCTCAAAGTAGTCTCTGATGATTTCCTGGACTTCCATGGTGTTTGTTGTTATCTCCCCTTTTGCATTCCTGATTCTACTAATTTGGGTTTTTTCTCTCCTCATTTTAGTCAGGTTTGCCAGGGGTCTGTCGATCTTGTTTATTTTTTCAAGGAACCAACTTTTTGTTTCATTAATTCTTTGTTTGGTTTTTTTGGTTTCTATTTTGTTGATTTCAGCTCTTATTTTTATTATTTCTCCCCTTCTATTTGTTTTAGGATTTGCTTGTTCTTGTTTTTCTAGGAGTTTGAGATGTATCATTAGGTCATTGATTTGGGATCTTTCATTCTTTTTAATATATGCACTCATGGCTATAAACTTTCCTCTCAGGACTGCCTTTGCTGTGTCCCATAGGTTCGGGTAGGTTGTGTTTTCATTTTCATTGACTTCCAGGAACTTTTTAATTTCCTCTTTTATTTCATCGATGATCCATTGTTCATTAAATAATGAGTTATTCAGTTTCCAGCTGTTTGCATGTTTTTGTCTTTACTTTTGTTGTTCAGTTCTAGTTTTATTGCACTGTGATCAGATAGAATGCATGGTATTATTTCTATTTTCTTATATTTGCTAAGGCTTGCTTTGTACCCTAGGATATGATCTATTTTGGAGAAGGTTCCATGCATGGACTGCTGAGAAGAATGTATATTGTGTAGAAGTTGGATGAAATGTTCTGTAGACATCAAGTAGGTCCATTTGATCTATTGTACATTTTAGATCTTGGATTTATTGATTTTTTTGTTTGGATGACCTATCTATTGATGATAATGGAGTGTTAAAGTCTCCCACAATCACTGTGTGAAGTTAATATATGCTTTAGGTCTTTCATGGTATGTTTGATGAAATTGGGTGCATATAGGTTGATAATTTTTTTTTCTTTTCCCCTTTTATTAGTATGGAATGTCCTTCTTTATCTTGTTTGGTCAATGTACGTTTGAAGTCTACTTTGTCAGAGATAAGTATTGCTACTCCTGCCTGTTTTCGGGGGCCATTGGCTTGGTAAATCTTCCAGCCTTTCATCCTAAGCCTATGCTTATTTCTGTCGGTGAGATGGGTCTCCTGTAAGCAACAAATTGTTGGATCTTCCTTTTTAATCCATTTCATCAAATGGTTCCTTTTGATGGGTGAATTAAGTCCGTTAACATTAAGTGTTAGTACTGATAGGTATATGGTGATTCCTGTCATTTAGTTGTCTTAGTTGTTTGAAGGTTTGATTGTGTGTACCTAAGTTGAGGTTACTCTCTACTGTCTTGCTTTTTCTTTTCCTGTAGTTTGGTGCTGCCTGTCCTTTCATTGTTATGTTGGTTTCACTTTCTGTGTGCAGAATCCCTTGAAGAATCTTTTGTAGTGGTGGCTTTGTGGTCACATATTGTTTTAGTTTCTGCTTATCATGGAAGACTTTTATTGCTCCATCTATTTTGAATGATAGTTTTGCTGGGTAGAGTATCCTGGGGTTGAAGTTATTTTCATTCAGTGCCCTGAAGATCTCACCCCACACTCACCTTGTTTTTAATGTTTCTGCTGAGAAGTCTGCTGTGATTTTGATGGGTTTACCTTTGTATGTTATTTGTTTTTTCTCTCTTACAGCCTTCAATATTCTTTCCCTAGTTTCTGAACTTGTTGTTTTAATGATGATATGTTGTGGGATAGTTCTATTTTGATCTGGTCTGTTTGGTGATCTGGAGGCCTCTTGCATCTGTATGGGAATATCTTTGTCTAGATTTGGGAAATTTTCTCTTATTATTTTGTTGAATATATTACTCATTCCCTTTGCTTGCACCTCTTCTCCTTCTTCGATGCCCATGATTCTCAGGTTTGGTCTTTTGATGGAGTCGGTGAGTTCTTGCATTTTCTTTTCACAGGTCTTGAGTTGTTTAACTAATAGTTCTTTAGTTCTTCCTTTGATTACCATTTCATCTTCGAGTTCTGAGATTCTATCTTCTGTTTGTTTTATTCTGCTGGATTGGCCTTCCGTTTTATTTTGCAATTCTGTTTCGTTCTTTTTTTCTTGAGGTTTTCCATATCCTTGGTTGTTTCCTCTTTAATGTCTATTTTTGTCCTGAGTTCATTTATCTCTTTATTATTCGTGTTCTCTGTTTCACTTTGGTGTTTATACAGTGCTTCTATGGTTTCCTTTATTTCTTCTTTTGCTTTTTCAAATTCTCTATTTTTATTGTCTTGGAGTTTCTTGAGTGTCTCCTGTACATTTTGGTTGACCATATCCAGTATCATCTCTATAAAATTCTCATTGAGTACCTGTAGTATGTCTTCTTTTAAATTATTCTTGTGGGCTTCATTGGGTTCTTTGGCATAGTTTATCTTCATTTTGTTGGAGTCTGGATCTGAGTATCTGTTTTCTTCATTTCCCTCTGGTTCCTGTACTAATTTTTTGCTGTGGGGAAACTGGTTTCCCTGTTTTTTCTGTCTTCCCGTCATTGCCCTTGGTGGTGTTATTGTCCTTGTACTGTATGCAATTAAGTATTTTCTGGCTGTAATAATAACACTAGTGATATTTAGAATGGAAGGGTGAGAGGAGATGGAAAGCAAAGAAGTTAAAGGAAAAGGGAAAAACAAATAAGTAGAAAAACAAAGTTTCAAAGATAAGTAGAAAAAACAAAGTTTCAAAGATATAAGCGGAAAAGGCATTAGAGAGACAGAGAGGATTGAAAATAAAAAGAATAAAGATAAGAATAAAAATTAAAAATAAGTAAATAAAAGAAAATATATATATAAAATAAAATTAAAAAACCCTTGTAGTTCAAATGCAATGAAGTTTCAGTCTTAATAATTTTGGTATTCGTCCCTCAGCCTCTAATCCTGGAATTGGTGCCTCAGATGTTGTTCTGTAGTTAAATAGAACAAAACCGCACAAAACAGGAAAAAAAAAACCCCACAAAGTGTCCCAAGTTCAAATGCAATACAGTTTCAGTAAGTTTTTCAGCATGTAGGTGTAGTTTGGTTGTTTTCTCATCAAAGGTAGGGAGAGAGAAATAAAAAGAGTCTGGAGACAGTTCTGTGAATGGTATCTGCGGCTGTGGCTTGTCTGCCCACTGCTGTCAGCCTGCTGTTGCTGGAGGCTTTATTTATGCAGATCTCTGGGGTGAGCTTAGCACTCAACTAGCCCCGCAGGCTTTATTTACACAGAGTTCTGTGTACAATGCCACTGCTACAAGCTTTCTCCTTTCCAAGCACACTGGCGGAGGTGACACTGCACCCGCTTTCTCAGGCCTGCGTGTTTGTTTACAGCTCACGTGGGAAGTGGGTCTTCCCCCCTCTCCTGTGGAGTTTTCTTCCCTCCGCCACTCTCACAAGCTTTCCTGCTCCTGGTTGCTGGGTGCAGGCCCCAAACTCCTGCCCTCTCCGGCCAGGCCCAGCTTGTTTATTTACAGTTCCGGGAAGGATTCCCTTCCTCCTTCTTCAGCACTCAGGGTGCCCCACCCTCTTTGCAACATGTCTTTATTGTTCTTATTGCTTATTACTCAGTTTCTCTATTTCCCCAGGTGGGGGTTGGTCTGTCCAGGGGGCTATGCTGATCTGGCCCAGGGTTGTCTGTGGAAGTACTGTGTACCGCTTAGCTCACCTTGTGGTCCATGTCTTCCCAAGCCATCTGGGCGCGGGCGACTGGCGGTGGCCTGGGGGGCCTTCCTGGTTTCTCCGTTCACCGTGAAGTAGAGATGCTCTGCGCGGGCTGGAGGTGTGGAGAGGTCAAAGTTTTGCCTCTTCTCCGTGGCCCTGCCTGCAAGGTGTGTCTCCAGCGTCTCTCCAAGATTTCATTTTAGGAGGCACGCTTTCTGCTTCCTCCCTGTAGCTGCCATCTTGGAAATCTGCCCTTTCTTCTGTCTTGAAAGACTTTTAAACTGAAATATCCCTTCCAGTGCTATCTAGACTCAGTGTAGTCCCTTATCTCTTAACTTGGGCTGTTCTGCCTCTTTTATAATATTGATTTACAGACTAGCATGATCCTTGCAAGTACCGTCAATCCTGTTGTTAACAAAACATACTGGCATGCCTGAAATCCACCATGCTACACAAAGGCACATAGTAAAAACCAAAAGACTACAAAGGTATAGAATCAGAGAACCATACTCAAAAAAAGGCTAATAAAAATAGCCGATTTTACACACAAATGCTACAGTTTATCCTGAAAGAGCCCTGCCATCAGCTTGTACCCCAGTTGGTTAAAGGACCGTTGAAGCATGCGTCTCATATGCATGAGGGGAAACGGAGCTGGTGGGCCATGGACAACTGCTGGGGAATTCTCCCAGCTCCACGTAATGTACAGCATCCACCTAGAACAGCATCCACTCCTTGAAGGGCCACAATAAATAAGTGTACATTTCCAGCTTTGTTGAGGCTACAAGGAGGTTCTCAAGTAGCTACAACCCTTTTACAGCTACTTAAAATGTAACCACCTTAAAATGAATGTGCCAACTACTCTATTCTAGTTCCAGCTAGTAAAATGGGGCCAGACTTTGTTGCCTGACCTAGTGCTTCTCACTGATGAAAATTACACATAAACAAATGCCTTTTGCTTAGATTGTTTCCCTCTAATCCGCCAATCATGTTACAAGAAAACTGACTTAGCTGCATTCATTATAGCAACACAGCTTCATATCCTTTGGCAAGGTGCTCAAAGCTTCTCTTTGATGGGTTGATGTATTTTTTCAGTTTTACATCTTACTTCTGCTATATTTAGCATCTTCTATGCTTGTGTCTGGTTGACATTCGGATTCAGATACCTATCCCTGATTGACTGCACTTTTGTAAGTGTGTCTTAAAGAATAATTCATGTTGATTTTTTAGAAAACTTAAACACATTCAAAAGTAATCATTTACTTATCTCACAAGTGGCAACTCAAGCTAAAAATCCTCACTAAATACATTATACCAAGCCTTATAACTAAAGAAAAGTTGAACACAAGGTTGACATTAATATTTTATTTACAACCAGAGTGACATAAAAGATTTGTTTTCCATGCTTAAAAGGGGGATCTTCACCACATCCTGGTTTCTCTCTTGTTCCTTGAACACCCCAACCTTGTTTCCTGTTCTTTCCCTGTGCCTGTGGAAGCTACAGTACCATTCATGGGAGTGTCACAGCCTTGACAAAAAAATGTCATAGAAAAGATGGCAGCCTCAACTGAAACTTTGCAGGGCTTGTTTCCAAAGTCTGCATCTTATGATCTCTGTCAGTCTTTGCCCTGGTCACCATCAGAGGAATTCCTGGGCACACACAGTACAGCCAGTCTGACTATTTGCACATGGGTAAGCCCAGAAAATGTTTAAAGTATGGCAGGCCCTTAACAAGTTTTGCCTACCTCACTCTGTGCAAATCCCCTTAATACGAGCCATGGGAAGAGTTTTAAAACATACTAACAGTAAGGTTGGATCTTACCCCAAAAATTAAGACTTGGAAAGCTTAGAATTTACAGTCTAACTAAAAGTTTAGAACCTGGTCTTGTGCCCCACTTGCACCTTCTCAGCTATCAGTCACATCGTGGACTTGCACAATGCTGAGCCGGAGGTCCTGCGGCTCTCTCTGTACTTCACTTATCTATAGTCAACCTGCCATTTCTTCAGAATATAAGTTACTAAAATGTTATACTTCTAAAGAAGCCATGGTCATTCCTTTAAAAACAACTTCCATTTTCACTCATGAATTCAGTGCCTCAAGTATCCATCCTTTAGTATTTAACAATGCAACAAACATCTTTACAATGTTTCTACAGTATTTCTATATAAAGTTATAAAAAATAAGTCTCATTTTCTCTTTGGCAACTACTGTTGCTTGGACAGTCTTCACATTCCCTGAATTAGGAAAAATACCAACCTGGCACAGGAGAGCATGTCAAATGAAAGTAAGGGAACAGCAGGTACATCCCTTCCCTCTAATTTGGTCCCTGAGGTAGCTGACCATTAGTCCTTACAGGATGTACCTGAAGTGTGTCCATGTCACCTTCCGAGCAGCTAAACACACAGTAGAGCTCTGTCACGCAGCCTTGAGGTCCACACACCACGCAGCTCTCTTGGGGTATGTGATGGTTTAGGATTGAGAGATCCATACGGAGTCCTCTGTACATTCCTCATCGCTTGGACATGGCACTGTGGTTACAGAAGGCTGTTTTTAAGTTGTAGGTTTTAAAGATTTCAAGACCCTCCAGCATCATCTGTTTAAGCAAAAGAAATGCCAGTATATTAAAGTTCAGCTAAAAGATTACTCGCAATAAGATTTCTAAATCAGAAACCACCTTACAGTGTTTCTTATGTGCTGAAGATTTTGAAAACCTTCCGTGATAGAAAATGGCTCTGCAAAGTTAAAACGTCACTTAACCATCATGATCAGGTGAATTATGCAATTTCAGTACACATGCAGTTGGAGCCTGCTGGGAGCATGCAGGCTCAAAGACAGGACTTCCATGTGGTAGAAACCCTTGTTTCTACTGGGCTCTGCAGGCTGCAGCTATGGCCAGCAAGACTAACAAGACTCTTGGTATCTCTCATCCAGATGCGGAACAGAACAAGGCTTTCTGCACAACAGACACCAGAGACTTTTCCCTAAGTAGACATGACTACCTGGGGAGAGGCACAACTCCTGTTTTAATTGATGGCACCCAGGAACAAAGTTCCCACTAAACACCAAAGTGAATCCCCAGCCCATTGTACTGTGGCAACGTCTGCCAGACAACAGGCTCTGCTGCCTCAACACACCTTTTAGAGGAAGGCCACAGGGGCATAAAACCTACATACACTACACACCAGCAGCAAGAAAAAAATCTCCTTGCCTACTGAGAACAAACCATCCACCAGGGCCTTCCTCCTTAAGTATCAGCAGGCAGTAGAGGAGCCCCAGATAGGAAGAAAGACACAAAAGAGTAGTAGAAAAGAACGACCAGTCTAAGGAAACACTGGTTTTGTTTCAGTTTAGTTACAGATGTTCTTACCAGCTGAATCCACAAGCCAAATAAAAGATTCCAGAGAATTTTATCCAAAACACTATCAAAACTGAATTCTCCATTTAAATATATGTGTGCCTCCCAAGGGAACCTGAAGTTGTACAAAATCTCAATGAGGAGGAGGCAGGGTCTGCAGCAGCTGCCCCCCAGCCATTCTTCTAGAAGGATCCCACCTTGCTCTTGCTTCATCCACACTATAGAGCTGAGGACTGTAACCTCTGGTCTCTTCCTGCTACCAGTCCTAACTCGAATAACAATCTATACTGCAGGTAACAATTTTTTTTAATTGCCTGGTTTATTTCATCTGAGTGTTCTCTGCATTCAAAGTGTTACCTACATTCCCTGCAACAGATGATGTCAACAGTTCATGTTCCTTCTGGTACACAGTGTCCAGCAGTGCAGGTTGTACATGCAGCACAGGTTGGGTAGCCCTTGTGCAAGATGCCTGGGACCAGAAGTGTTTCGGATTTCTGAGTTTTTCAGATTATGGAATATTTGCATACATTTTAAGGACTTAAGTGTCCTTCATCTGAAACCCAAAATGCTCCAAAATCTAAAACCTTGAGCATTGCCCTAACATTCAAAAAACTTTCATACTTTGGAAAATTTTCAGGTTAGGACTGCTCAACTTGTATATCAGTACTGCTCAAACATGCTCACTGAGGGATTACATTAAATTTTAAAAACAATAAAAAATAAATGTTAAATAAAGCTGGAGGTATGACTCAAGTGGTACAGAATTTGCCTAGTAAACACAAGGTTCTAAGTTCAATCATTAGTACAGCCAAAAAAAAATTGATATGCTAAGTGTTTCAAAACTCTCAAAAGCCCATGGTGAATTACTATATAGTTTTAAAAACTGTGTCAAATCCCCAAGTACATGGTATTTAGCAGCAATAGGAAACAAATTCATTGTACATGGAGTGAAGATATTTTCTTCCTTATCTCTCCTAGTCACCTCCCTTCTGTAGTTTTTATAGTTTCCATTTGGTTTTCACGCATGAATATAAACTCCTTCACTCATATTCACATAAACACCCCCATCACCCTCTTCTTTCAGCCTACCGCCTCCTGCTGGCTCACTCATACACAAGCAAAGAGTTCCTTTTTTTTGTTTTTTTTCTGGCAGTACTGAGGTTTGAACTCAGGGCCCTGTGCTTGCTAGGCAAGCTGTACCACTTAAGCCACTACACCACCTTTTTTATATTAATATCGTTTTTTTGAAGGCCTAGATTCTGAATGAGAAAAAACAGGATGTGTCAGAGTCTGGCTTATTTTGTTTAACTGATGATATTGAGTTCCACCCATTTTTCAGCAAACATTTCTTTATAGTTGATGAGTACTCCACTGTACACACGTAGCACGTTTTTGTCCATCAGTTCGTGGGCACTCAGGTTGATTTCTTAGCTTGCCTGCTGTGAGCAGTGCTGCTATAAACATGGGTGTGCCTATGTTTCTACTGTATGCTGACTTACATTCCTTCAGATGAGGCCCAGTAGTGGCATAGCTGGGTCATATGGTAGTTCTAGTTTTAGTTTTTCTGATTTCCATAGTGGCTGCACTAATTTATATTCCCACCATGTACAAGGGTTCCTTTTCCCTAGCATCCTTGCCAGCATACATTTGTTTTCTTTATGATAGTGATAGCCATTCTGACTGGGGTGAGAGGGAATCTCAGTGTAATTTTGATTTGCATTTCCTTATGGCTAAGGACACTGAATATTTCTTTATGTATTAGCCACTTGTACTTCTGAGAACTGTCGGGCTCATTTGCCCACTTATTAATTGGGTTATTCTTTCGGTGGTTAATTTTTTTGAGCTCTTTATATATTCTGCATATTAATCCTTCATCTGGTGAATAGCTGGCCAAGCTTTTCTCCCATCCTGTTATCTCTTTACTCTGGTAATTGCTTCCTTTGATGTGCAAAAGCTTTTTAATTTGATACAATCCCATTTGATTCCTGCTTTTATTTCCTTAGCAACTGCAGTCTTATACACAAAGTTACCGCCCGTGTCTGTACCTTCAAATGTTTTCCCTAGAACTGGTGGAGTGGCTCAAGCAGTAAGAGCACCTGCCTAGCAAGCATGAGGCCCTGCGTTTGAAACGCCAGTACCAGAAAAAAAATACAAATGATTTCCCTAGGTTTTGCTGAAGTAGTTTCAAAATTTCAGGTTTCACACTAAGATCGTTTATCCATTTTGATTTTTATAGAAGGACTAGTTTTCTATATGTGAATATCCTGTTTTCCCAACACTATTTGTTGAAGAGGTATCCTTCTCTAACATACATTTTTAGCATTTTTGTTGAATATCACATGCCTGTAGCTGTGCAAATTTACTTTACAGATCTTCAATTCCATTGGTCTAGATCTTTTGTGTGTGTGTGCCAGTACCATGTTTTTGTTACTATGGCATTGTAGCATAATTTGGAGTCAAATACTCTGATACCTCCAGCATTGGTCTTTTTGTTCAGGATTTCTTTGGCTACCTGGGGCCTTTTATGTTTCCATATGAATTTTAGCATTGATTTTTTTTCTACTTCTGTAAAGAATAGCATTGGGATTTTGATGGGGATTACATAGAATCTGAAGATTCCTTTCAGTAGTGTAGCCATTTTCACAGTATTAATTGTGCAAATCCATGAACATGGGAAGTCTTTCCATCTTTTAATGTCTTTAATTTTTTCAAAATTTTAATAGTTTTCATTCTGAAGATCTTTTAGCTCCTTAGTTTTATTCCAAGTTTTTTTTTTGGTTTGTTTGTTTGGTTTTTTTGAGGCTACTATGATTGCGGTTGTTTCCCTGAATTCTTTCTGAGCCTGTTATTGACATATAGAAAAGCTACTGATTTCTGTATGTTGATTTTCTTATACTGCTACTTTGCCTAAAGTGTTTATAAGATCTAAATTTTTTTCTTGGCAATACTGGGGCTCAAGTTTGTTGACTTATTGGTCTGGATGACCTATCAGTGAATGGGGTGTTGAAGTCACCCACTATTATTGTATTGGGGTCTATCTGTATGTTTATGTCCACTAATGTTAAATTTTATAAGCTGGGTAGTGTTCAGTGTGTTTATATTTACAACTGTTGTATCTTCTTGATGGTTGGTCCACTTTATCCACATAAAGTGTCCTCCTTCATCTCTTCTAATTGTGTTTTGAAACCTGCTTTGTCAGATACTAGTATACCTACTCCTGTTTGCTCTCAGGCAAATCTTTTTCCATCCTTTCACTTTAACCCAGTGTTTGTCTTTGCCAGTGAAGTGCATCTTGTAGGATCTTGGGTTTTTTTCCTGTGTCTTCTTATTGGAAAATTAAGATGATTAACATTCAGAGTTATTAAAGTTATGTAGTAATTTCAGCCATTTTATTAGTTTTGTAGGGTAGTGTGTTATTCTTCCTTATTTCTCATTTGCTTATCTATGCAAAGTGATTTTCCTTCCACTATTGCCATGGTTGTGTTTATCTTCCTCTTTTTCCTTTAAGTATTTTCTGTAGCACTGGTTTAGTGGTCATGAATTGCTTTGTCATCATGGATGATTTTTAATTTCTCCTTCAATTATGAAGGATAGCTTTGCTGGATAATCTAGGCTGGCAGTTATTTTCTTTCAGAGTTTGAAATACATTGTTCCAGGTGCTCCTTGCTTTTGAAGTTTCTGTTGAGAAATCCATCTGGTGTTATTCTAGTGGTTTTCCCTTTATAAGGGACTTGGTGCTTCTCTCTTGAAGCTTCCAGTACTCTTTCCCTTTTCTGTATACTTAATGTTTTAACTATAATGTGACATGGGGAAGTTCTTTTCTGGTCTTCTTTGGTATTACAAAAGCTTCCTGAACCTGGATGATCATCTCTTAAAATGTAGGGTATTTTATTCTATTACTTTGTTGAATGTGTTTCTGTGCCTTTAGCTTACACTTCTTCAGCTATGCCCATAATTCATCGATTTGACCTTTTAATGGTGTTCCAGAGGTCTTGGATGTTCTGTGCATACTTCCTTATTCTTTTCTCTTCATCTGAATGTTTTAGTTCATCCACTTTGTCTTTTGAGTCCTCATATTCCATCTTCAACTTAATCCCATTGGTGAACCTTTCAACTAATTTATGATTTATTGAGCTTTTCATTTCCAGAATTTCAATTTGAATTTTTCAAGATTTCTGTATAATTCCTTTCATAACCTGCAGTGTTTTATTTCATTTAGCTGTTTTTTTGTATTCTTAATTCAGGTGTTCACACATATCGTTTTTAACTTCATTAATCAATTCTTTTGAATTCTTTAGGATTTCCTCTAATTCACTACCATTAGAGTCTTATGGAGTAGCTGACTTTTGGAGGAATCATGTTGGCTTTCTTTTTTTTTTTTCCATATTTCTTGTATTCTGGGATTTGTACACCTGAAGTTTTTAAGCACCTGTAGTCTTTCAGTTGAAGTGTTCTCCATGCTCAGGCAGGAGTATGTAAGTGGCAGAGTTGAAGTACAGTTTCTCATCACTGGACTAGGGGTATAGGTTGTTAGCCACTCACCCATGTGCTCAGGACACTGGACCCAATCCCCAGCACCACACAGAAAAGGAGCTGGAGTCTCTTGTAGTTCCTATTGTATACATTTGTGCTATACATGGGCTAAGGCAGGACCAGTTAAGGGCCATTTGCCCACTTCTGGGCTGCTTTTACTTTAGAAGCTTCCCTTCTTTGGGTACTAGGAGCCCAGGCAGAATACTACTTGCTCCACAACCCTCACCCCTCCTCAGTTTAAGCCCTCAGGAGCACTAAGCCTACAAACCTAGGGGTGTCCCCTGAATATGTTGAAGAGTGCAAAGAGGAGACAGAGCACTGAATTGTGCACAGGTGGAAGAGAACTGAAGAACTCAGGCTTTATGCCTGGTGAGCTCAGTGTTTTCACACCCAGCCCAGCAGTTCACCACCCTGTGGAAGGGAGGAAGTGGAGGAATCCAAGATTTGCAGGATCTGGGCTCAGAGCTCTGCCTCATCTGTGTGAGACTACAGGAGGCGAGTCCCAGCACTTTCAGACCCCACTGGGTGGCTCACTGTGCCATGGGACAGAGGAGGCTGGGAGATTCAGGTGACTCTCAGGACCTGGGCTCAGAGCTCTCAGTGCTGCCTGGCAGCAAACAGACATAGGCAGGAGGCAGCTCCTGGAGGGCAAGCACTCCATCAGCCACAGGTGAGCTCAATGCTTTTTCCATAGTGATTCTCAGGCAGTGGGACTCATTCCTTGCTAGGGAGGGCTTCCTGAGCTCCCTACTACCTGAACCTCTCAGCTGGTCCACATCAAACGCTCTCCAAGATCACCTCTTGTGGCAGTCTCCCAACTAGAGACTGTAGTAAGATGTCCCAAGACTCACTGAGCAGTGATTGTTCCTTGTTTTCAAGTCTGCAGAGTAGTTCAGTCTTAAACAATAAGCCCCTTCTCAAGATGGTACCTCACTACAGCTCTCCAAAATAGGAAGAGTGACAAAATATCCTTCTTTTTTAAAGCTAGCCTGACACACTGGAGCAGTAACTGTTACACCAAGTCCCCACTCTGGGTTTAAGGCTTATGGGAAGTTTGACAATCAAGAATTGCCAGTCTGTCACCTGGGCTGCCTAGCTTACCTCATCTTTGTATCTTCAGCTTCCCCTTCCTTCCCTCCCCAGGGATCTGCAGCTGCAGATGGGTTTCTACTTTTCTCTGCCATCTTTCTGTTTCTCCCTCCTTTTTAATTCCCAGTGCTCTTCTCTTTTCATAATATAGTCTCTCCTTTGTCATCTGACTTTTCTCATTCATGGAATCAAACAGAGGAACACATAGATGTTTAAGAGTGTTTTACTGACATTTTCTTTTCCTTTAAGATAATCTTTCTAACAGATTGGCCTGAACTCACAATCCTCCTGGCTCAACCTTCTGAGTGCTAGGATTATAGCAATGTACCACCACACCCAGCCTGAGGTTTTCTTAAAGTAATAGAACATAAACCTCCTGCCATCTGAAATTCTCTATATCCAATGTTTCCAAGAATGAGGTGGAATCAGATGATCAGGACAGCCTGTCGGGTCTCCAGAGATTTGAAAAGCCATCACAGTCCCATACAATGTATCCTAGGAGCAAGGTTAGATCAGAGAACAAGATTGTTTGGAAATTTGAGATATTATCAAGATAAAAATTTAACCAAAGAACTAAAACATAATTTTGAAAGCCTCCCATAAAATTTTTGAAAAAACAGATAAAAATGGAAATTAAGAGACATTAATGAAAACATAAAAGATAATACAGTCCAATCCAAGAGACCCCAATTAGCATCAATTCCAAAAAGAAAAGAGAAGACAGAAGAATCAGGTCCCAATATGAAACAGCCAAAAGTGGAAAAAATGTACAGAAAATACATTTGACCTTGATATTTAGTACATGTCCTGCAACTGGCACAGAAGTAATGGCACTGGGTCCATTAACAGTCCACACACTGGCTAACGAGAAAGAATATTTGCGCTCTTAACAAAGTAAATGCTGGTGGAGTGGCTCAGGTGATAGAGGCCTGCCTAGCAAGTGTGAGGCCCTGTACCACACACACAAAAAGGTTTCCTACATTTCAGTCTTTGTGTTAGAGGTAACAAAAACATACAGAGTGGTTCTGTCTAGAGAAAGAACCCTTAGTGGTGGGGGAAAATTCCTGATTCCGTTTGCTGACCTAAGTGTGAGCAGATGAGCATCTTCACTTTGAAACCTCACCAAGCTCACCTACAGCCAGTACACTTCATCAGAATGCTTTCCTTCGATAACATGCTTACTTTATAAACCAAATTTAAAGGGGGTGCCTTTGAGCATCAGGGGTAAGATGTCAGGTTCCACTCTAAACCTCTGTGCTAAATGAACAAAAATAAATAAAATAAATAAACAACAAAAAACTCTCTGTGCTGATGTGGCTTGGTGTATTTGTCACTCCTCCCACCATTAAACAAAGCAGAAAGCTACTCACAGATCTAAGATAGGCTCCCACAGAGAGAAACAGGTACCTGTATCTGATTGTCTGAGTTTTTTCGAAACTTCAATTCCATTCTCCTCTAACTTCCGCTTTGCACAGTCTTGACAGGCATTACCTGGAAGATGAAAACTCATTTTAAAAGCTTCTCTCTTTGCTACGAAATATCCCCAAAAAAGTTTGGTCCCCAGTGCAATGCTGGGGGTGGTGCTTTAGGGAAATGACCAGATCATGACAGCTCTGACCTCATCAACAGATCAACCACTCACCATGCAAAACGTGTTGGCACTAGGAAGCAGCAGAGACCAGGAGGCAGGGCAGCCAAAGGAAGCAGCTCGCCTCTGCCCCTTGGAGGTACCCAGATTGTCTCTGGTCCCTCCTGTTCTCTAGCTTTTTTGGCTACCATAAGGTGAGAAACTTTCTTCCACCATATCCTCTGTCAATGGAACCAGACAATAATGAATCGAAACAGAGACAAAATAAATCTCTCCTCCTTTAAGTTGCTTTTCTTGGGTATTTTATCCCAATGATGAAAAAGAGATTAGCAGAGAGAACTGGTTCTGAGAAGTGAGGTTGTTGGTATGACTCTATATCACCATGTGGTTTTTAGGAAGAATTTGGAAAAGTTTGGAGAACAGGCTAGAAAAATCTTAGAATGCTCTAAGCAGGTTTAATGGGTGATTCTAGTGGAAGCTCAGAAGACCAGAATGCTTATAAAAATGCAGATAGTAGAGGGGACACTTCAGGTGGAAAGGAGGGCTCTGTCTGGGAACTGGACTAACAGGCCACTCATGTCACACTTTGACAAAGATTTTGTCTACACTTTATCCATGCCCTGAGACCTTATGGGAGGCTGAATTTAAAGGTGACAGGTTAATTAATCTGGTGAAAGAAATTCCAAGATAGCACACATTCATGCTGTGGCATGAGTATTGCTGCCAGATTTACAGTAAGAACTGGAAGCAAAAAGCAGAGCAGGCATGCCTATATCCTAGCGACTTCAGAGGCAGAGACCTGGAGGATCATGGTTTGAGGTCAGCCCAGGCAAATAGTTTGCAAGATCCCATCTCCAAAGTAACCAGACCAAAATGGACTGGAGATGTGGTTCAAGCAATAGAGCACCTGCTTTGCAAGCACTAAGCCCTGAGTTCAAATCCCAGTCTCACACACACATACGCAAAAAGGCTGATGGAGTGGCTCAAGTGGTAGAGCAAGAATTGAAAAACAATTTGTCAGAAAAGGATCACATTCAAAGTAGGGACCATGGAAGATGTGATTACTAAGATTTGCACCACTGAAAAGTGCCTTACTTTGCACAGTAAGAGAGATGGCATCGCAGGAACTGGCCAAGCGCCAATCGTAACAGGTTGAAGGGCGGAAAGGTATAAATTCACTTCAAAGCTCATATGCTTTTGAGAAGCACTCAGCTGCCTAGGCATTTCATCCAGGCAAGTAAGAGCTGCTGCAGCCATAACCCAAGTGGGCCTGGCTACTGCTCTCACTGCCAGCAGACTTTGGTGTCATCCACGTGATGATGGCTTTGTAGACGACATACAGAATGCAAGAGCTGTGGGGTCATGGAGGCTTCCACTCAGACTTCAACGGGCAGGCTGGAAGCCCAGGCCATGTGTGGCAGGGTCAGGATTCCTGATGGCAGCCTGAGAGGGTGACACCTGAAGCTGTCGGGTGAAGCCTAAGCTGCAGTGGAGACTCCAGGAGGGGTACTAGGAACATGAACTTTGGCCAGAGAAAGCTGCAGCAGTAACAGGGCCAGCCCAGGAGAGGCCATGTGGTGCACAGCCAAGCCAGCAAGGCCACATGCAGCTGGACATGCAACTACAGGATTTATGTTTGTCCTGCTGGGCTTCAGTCTTGCTTTTGTCCATCCCTGCTTTTTATTCCCCAATTCCTCCCTTTTGAAATGGGGGTATTCACTCAATGCCACTACATGTTGGGAGCATTTAAATTGGTATTTAATTTTTATAGGGCTCACAGCTGAAAGTTGCCTTGAGTCTGAGGAGGCTTTAGATCAGTTTTTGAACGCTGTTGGACTGTCAGGATGGCGGAGACACTTCGAGAGGGACTAAACGCATTTTGTATTACGAGATGACCGGGGCCTTTTGGTGACCTGCACATGAAGTGTCCTCCAGAAAGGGTCACATGTTGAAAGCTTGCATCCCAGCTGGTGGCACTATTGAGAGGTGACTGGATCAAAAGGGCACTAAGTTCATCAATGGGTCAGTCCATTGATGAAGGCATACTGAATGGACATGGGGCCCGGTTAGAAAAAGTAAGTCCCTGGGGCATGTATCCTTGGACCTTCCTGTCACTTTCTCTGCCCTCCTGTCCACCATGATGATACCCACCACAATATCCTACTCACTAGGCCCCACTCCAGAAGCAGGGGAAACAAGTGACTGTGGAGTAAAACCCCTGAAACCCCAAGTCAAAACACATCCTTCCTCTCTCAAATTCTTTCTTGGAAAAGCAAGTAACACTGTTGGAGAACCCACCTTTCAAAGACCAATTTCTGAATGTGACTTTACTGAAGCACTGGCCAAGTTTTCCCTGCCATACACTGCATACCTTATCAATTGAGTTACTACTGTTTTCAGAAGAAGACTTTTCTGGGAATCAAGTTTTTCAAAAAAGGCCAGGCACTGGTGGCTCACACTTGTAATCCTAGCTAGATTACTGAATCTTATACTGAATGGTATAAGCAGAACCTTGTTCCAATTCCCTGTAACTCAGTTCTAGGACAAAATTACTCCAGGTGCCACATTTGATTCAGCTGTGCTTCCCCGTGGAAGGGACGGACTTCAGTTCCTTCACTGTAGCAGAGACCATCTGAAGGCACTGCTGTTTATCCTCTCTACTGCGGTATTTAATACAGGCTAGTTACTTCATGTGAGAAATGCTTTCATAATTTTTACAAACAATGGCATCAAGATAACAGAACATGGAGGCAAAAGCAGGCTGACAAAAGATAAAGATCTTTACCCAATAATGTGGTGCTGTCCACTCGCTCAGCGTCTGGAAAAAAAAGAAAAACAGTCAGCAGAACCAAGACTTGGACCACATCTCCTCGGGCCAGGATGGATGGTACAAGGCCACTCTGAGGCCGCCACAATGGCTGGGAGTGAGCTTCTGTGCCAGCTGCAGCACATGCTGGCCATGGAGCCCCAGACCAGTCACACTATATCACCTTGCAGGGCTGATGCAAGGACTCACCGAGTGACCAGTGAAACACCTGGAGCCACCTAGAGCCATGACACATGGAATATGGAGCAGTCATGTTCACTGGTGTGACCATTATCATCAGTGGGCATTCTCTCCCATCAGAGATACCCCATGAATGCAAATACAGACGTCCTTCATGGTGGTCACAGATTAAAAACCCAAATAACCTTTGAGTCTTCTGGCAGCTTGTCAAATACATTCAGTCTTTGGGACTGGAAAAGGGGTCTCAGCAAGAAAAGGAAGCTGCTGCAGGAGCCCATGCTGACTCCCTGCATGGATCCTGGCATCCCAGGGCCCCCTGGTCATGGAGGCAGGAGGGTTCACTGCCTCTCTGCCAAGTGGTGCACACAGCTGGTACCAGGACACATTAAAGTGAACATTTTGCTCAGTATAAGACCAGGATCACAATGTCTTGGCACACATTGGGCATATTCACCTCTCTGAGCTAGTATCATCTCTAAAATCATCTCCTTAGTAGCAGTGGATCTGCTATTTAAAAAAAAAAAAAAGATCAAATAAGAGCAAGAATGGAAAAAGAATGTAAAATTCATGGCAGGGTATGACACAGCCTGGCAAGCATAACTTCCCCCTCCCACTCCTTAGGAAGACACTAATTGCACACCCCGCCCCCCCGCTGTATTTTCATTCATGGTGATGCGATTGAAATTGGCCTGTTTGCTCATCATTAGCAAATCTGAAAAGACAGAGCGCGTGGCGGCTGCTGGACCTCTGGATCCGCCTCCAGTTCAGTCTCTCTGTCCTCATTCCCCCTGCTAACCTCATTCCCCCTGGTGGGTGAATGGCCAGATTCCTGTTACTGTGAAAAGACAGTCAATACAGAACTTCCCACCTGTGCTGTCATCCGTGTTTTATGACCCCAAACTCAAAGCCATTAACTCTCTGGCATCAAGGTGACCAAATCTGAGAGGTTCCAACTCATCCTGGTCATTCCAGGAAGGTGCACAATTCCCCAGAAAGGCCAAGAAGAACTCAGAGGTATGTGACATGCCACAGAGATAGGGAAAGATGTATTTGAGGAAAGAAATGTCTCCAAAAGTTCATTTTGTACATTTTAAAAGCTAAAACTGATAAAGGCATCAGATAGCAGCATCTTTAAGTGTCACAACTGGTAAAACTGGACTGATAGCTTGTGTTCTTAGTTAAGATAAACTAAAACATTAAATGTGTCCAATATTTATATGCAAGCTATAAATAAAATTCTATCATACCACTTAACCTCAATCATTTAATTTTAGAGGCTTTTTTCTTTTGGCAGCATTAGGGTTTGAACTCAGGGCCGCACACTTGCTAGGTAAGTGCTCTACCATTTAAGCCACACCACCAGCCCTGTTTTACTTTTTTTCGGGTAGGGCCTCACGTTTTGGTGCAGAGCCAGCCTCCTATATTATGGTCTGGGCATGAGCCACCAGCCCAGCTGATTGATTGAGATGCGGGTCTCGCTAACTTTTTGCCTAGGCTAACCTTGAACCTTCAGCCTCCCGAAAAGCTGAGATTATGGGCATGAACCACTATACCCAGCCTACAGAGGCATTTTTAAAAATCAATAGCTAGATTAATGAACTTTATGGTATGTTAATATCTCCAAAGGGTGGACATGAATTCATGAACCCCATGAATTTTTCTCTTTGGAAAGTGAAGACAAACCTGGACTTCGCTGCTTGCAGATCTGAGTGGCAAGGTCTTGCACATATCCTGGGAAATGGTCAAAACAGTCCCCGTAGGACACCACCTTAATTCCATGCAGAAGCATATCTGCTTGATGCTTAAAGAAATGGTCTTCGTTCTCCTTGAGCACCACCATATAGTGCTCTAAGTCCACCTTATTTGGCACCGAGTAAAGGAAGAGAGCTTGGAATATCTGGTCACGAAGGGTCTCTCCACAGCCCACAAACAGAAAGGACTTGGTGCGGTACAGGTTCTGCAGGACTTCCTGTTAAAAGCCAACAAAGAAACAGTAAAGCCAAGAGAGCTGAGGAGGGGAGCAGAGACAGTCACCCAAGGGTTGGGCACAGATGGTGAGGGGTCACTCATGTGAGCAAAAAAGATCACCTCGGCCAGGTCCAACACGAGCACAGGGCTCTCATGACCAGGCAGCAGCGCTACTTCTACCCAGCACTCACCTCCTGACATCCCGTCCCTGGTGAGCACAGGATGCCTGACCCTGAGCACTCAAGGGCTCTGCAGATCTAAGTGCGGACAGCATTCACAACTTCCACACCTCATTCTGTCCAGGACCTCAAGAAAGCCTCACAGAGAATGAAGTTTTTAAAACTAGGTCTGGTAAGCTGAAGAGACTGCTAAGTAGAGGAAGGACAAAACTGCAGACAGGAAGATGCCTGTGTAAACTCTGAACCGATGAGTGGGGAGGGACGATGGAGAACAGCAGCAGACCACACACATCACACTGAAGACTTCTGCACTGAGAAGGAAGAGAGCAGAGCTGTGCTTACCTCCTTGAGCAAATGTGCACGGTGCATCTGTTTGACACGCAGGCAGGGCTGGGCTGTAGCTCAGTGGCGGTGTACTTGCCTAACATATACAAGGCCCTGGGTTTCATCTCCAGCACCACAAGAAAAAAAGTGTCTAAAACATGCAGGCACTGTACCAGGAGCTAAAGACACAGGCGAGAACAGGAGAGACGTGGTCCTGTCCTGGCAGCTGTGTGAAGGGCTAACTGGAAAAACTGCAATGCCTGGGGCCTGGGAAACCACTCAAGACTACAGCCCAATGGCTGGTGGCTAACCATAAATTCCCCAAAGACTTCAGCCAAAGCCTACTGAAGATGCACTTACCATTACTTCTGGGTCTTGAGTGACATCTTTGTATCCCGACGGATCCAATACCATCCCACAGGGGTCTGTGTATAAGCCATGAATGTGAAGAACTCCATACTTGATGTGGCCTCTTGCCCACTGAAGAACCTAGCAAAAACCAAACCAAGATGAAGAAAACAGCCTGGTGTTATTTCAAACAGAAGAAAATATCTAAATCAGATTCATGCTTTTTCAGACCTACCCTGAGAATAGTAAAAGAGATGCTTCAATTTGTATCTTTAAAGCAGAAGCTCAGCTGTCAGCACTAGTTAGTACCACTACTTAGTGCAGTACCTTACCAAGAACTTCCTCAAAGTCCCTGTAATGGCTACAGCAAGCTGGTTGGAGTGACTGCTTCAGGATATGGGAACCTTCTAAGTTGCATGTCACATTTTAATTGCTCTGTATTATTTTTACATCCAGCAAAAGTATGTACAGAAAAAAAGTCTTTATCAAATGGCTATCTACATTCATTTAAGTTCAAAATACAGAGCACAGCACCTTCCAAAGACGCATGCCGTGTCTACTTGATTTTTCTCGGTGTGGGTCTTTTAAATCTGCAGGCTATGCAAACACTGACAGACACCTCCACAGGCAGAAGCCAACAGGCATTTCTGTCACACATAACTGGAGGTCATCACCAGAGGTGCTCCCACACTCTCAGGGGCCACAGGCCCTGCCCCGATCCTCCAGGAGTGTCTTAGTGTGTGCCAGCCTGTGCCATCAGCCAACTCTGGGAGAGGGTGCCACCAGCAAAGCTCGAGCACTGCAGCACAGTGACCAGATAACATCAGTAGCATCCATAGTGAAACAGCTACACAAAGGACACAGACATACCAAAAAGAAAGGTCAGTAAAGTGCCCCATGTTCCTTAGTAATAAAAGGAGAAAACTTAAGGTTTTCACCTGTCAAGAGTGAGTTACATTTTGCTCTTTTAGTAATACAGCACTGCAAAAGACAGGAATCGGTATTTCCATACAGAGCTGGTGGGCTCCAGAAATGACTTGGTAATTTGTACCATCCATCCAATTCACACCTGTTGACCCTGAAACCCTTCTAGAACTTACCAGAGGCACACAAACGCTTAAAATTTTTCATTGTAGCATTATTTATGAGAGCAAGAATACAAAAAGGGGGATTTATGGAATGGCTCAAGTGGTGGAGTACCTGCCTAGCAAGTGTGAGTACTGCAAAAAAAGTAAAAAGCCGGGGGCGGGGGTGTGTGTGTAACAATTGTACTTAAGTCCTAGATTTCTATTGCCATTTAAAATCACACTTCTAAAAACAGTTTAATGAAAGCCAGGTGTGGTGGTGAACGCCTGTAATCCCAGCACTCAGAAGGCAGAGGCAAGAAGACCTCAAATTCAAGGCTAGCCTGGGCTGCCTGGGCTACCTGGGCTATGTAGCAAGTTCCAGGCCAGCCTGGGCTGCAAAGTGAGATCCTGTCTCCAAAAACAAAACAAAAGTTTAATGAAAGGAAAATGCTCACAGTGTAATCAATATTAAGGAAAAAGTCAGAAAAAAACCTGCGTGTAAACTGCACTCCGCAGCACTGGGATTGTGGTGCTCTGCTCTCCTTTATTACCCCATTACCCACGGTAACTCTAATGAATAAACGACAGACAAGAAAGCCCTGCAGGCCTCCAGGCCAGGAGGTGACAGCAAGAAACAAGCACCTTGAGAGGGGATGAGCCGGGCCTTTCAGGCCACAGCTACCTGAGGAAGGTGGCGAGGCATCCAGGACCAGCCCACCACTGTTTCGCTGTGGGGCAGGCGATAGAAAGTCACTGCCAAGAGTGGGAGTTCTCCTGGACGTGTGCCACCCGCTACCCGCTCCGCCTGTACCTTTGTTTTGTCCTTTAAGTCCAGTGACTCCATGGGCCTGTTCTGCTGCTGCCCAAAGATCTCCAGCAGGTTGTCGTAGTTGGTGGTCAGCACCATGGTGCCTCTGTCCATCAGGCTGAGGATGGACTGCAGCACCAGAGGGTTCTGGATATGCTGCTCCAGGCTGTCAAAAACCTCCATCAGGCAGTCCTGGAAGAAGTTGGGCTTGGTATCGCCTGTGCGCTGCAGAGAGATAGAGCAAGAGTTACAAACACATCAGAGCTCAGCAACTGCTGTGTACTGAAGCAGGTGGTACTCTGAGTGCCAGAGATAAAGCAGTTTTAAAAAAGAAAGAAAAATTGACCACCCGATCTCTGAGGGGACACATTTCGTTGCCGCTCCCAACCCTCCCCAGTTCTGCTGTCACCATATCCTCATCCTCCATGAGGCTACCATCATCTTTATAGAACCTGGCTCCCCGTGCCCTAGTGGCCCCAAGCGGGGGTTCTCACACTTGGTAAAGACATGGAGCAGCGCCCAGCTCCCTGTCCAGTCTCTCTGGTTGTGTCTTATGTCCCAGTTTGTGGTGATTTTCATGGCTCTTGGATGAGCCTCTCTGTATCAAGCCTCTTAAGTCCTTCCCCTCACCCTGGACCCCCATCTGGCCATCTCACCTGTCTACATCAATGACCGTGGCCCAGACCTTATTGTTGCCAAGGGCTGGATTCTTCCGGAGTCCCTGGTCCAGCCTCCCTGTCCAACTGCTCCCTCCTATCTGCCCAAGTCCAGCACCTTGGCTGTCAGGAAACTATCCTGTCAAGGCCTACAATCCAAGATCCTACACCACTAAACACTGCCAACAGGCCCGTCCTCTCCGGGAGGCAGCACTGATCCACAGCATCACCACAGCTCCTCCCTATGATGTTGGCAAGCCTTGGACAGGTTTTCAAAGTGTGTAAGGGGGGGCTGACAAAGTGGCTCAAGTGGCAGAGCACCTGCCTGGCAAGCATGAGGCCCTGAGTTCAAACCCCAGTACCACAAAATAAATAAATAAATAAATAAATAAATAAAACAAAGCATGTAAGGGGAGGAGATGACACTAATCTCCTACACTGAACACTGGTCCTTGTAGCCAGTCTCTCTCCAAGTGACTGACAATTCGGCCTCACCACTGCTCAGCCACACCTTCAGTTTTCTTGGCCCATGAGTTCATGAGTTGCAATCACACTGAAGCCATTCTGGTCTGGGTCTGTGACAGTGGCCTAACCTCTTCTGCTTCTTCTGAGATTTCCTTGCATCCACGGCTCCAAGGCCATGTCCCAGCTGCTTCTCAGATGCCGACTGTGCCAGCCTCTACCACACTGGCCCCCCAGCCTCTGTACCCCAACATGCAAAACCTGCTGTGCCCTGTCAAGGTTGAGCCTCTCCTGCCCAGATCCCCAGCTCCAGGGCATCTCTCAGTAACTGTCCCCAGCACCACCAACTGGGCTTCCTGTGCCATATTACTTTCACTGGCAGACAGATGCTGTACTTTCTCTCATCCTAAAATGTCTTCCAGGGGCCGCATGCCAGTGGTTCACACCTATAATCCTAGCTTCTTGAGAGGCTGAGAGTGGAAAGATTGTGGCTCGAGGCCAGCTGGGGCAAATAAAATAATCAAACCAAAATTGACTGAAGGTGTGGCTCAAGGAGTAGAGTACCTGCTTTATGAACACCTGTTTTATAGGCGTGAAGCAATGAGTTCAAAGCCCAGTCACACCAAAAAAAAAAAACCAAACAAAACCAAAGTCCTCCAGGGACCAGATGTCATCCGAAGAGATGTGACTGGCCAATCAAAACATATCCACAGGATACCCAAGCACCAGAGCTCAGAGCCCGAAATGCAGCATGATGACATCTTGAGCCAGTCCTGCAGACTCAGGAGCTCTTTACTGTAAACTAGTTCAGGAAGCACAGGTTGTATCTTACATCCCACATTTAGAGTCAATGGGTTTTTTTTTTGGGGGGGGGGCGGGTGGCGCACTGGGGCTTGAACTCAGGGTCTCATGCTTGCTAGGTAGGTGCTCTACCACCTGAGCCACTCTGCCAGCCCAGTGTCCCATGTTTAAAAGAACATCATCCTGATGGCTTCAAGAGTTCTCAATCAGCCCAACTCTGCTGAGAAATGATCACAACCTCAGCTCAGGGTTCTGATGCTAGTTCACAGACTCACCCAACCTAGCCCAGAACCTAAAGCTGGCCCATGAGCCCTGAAGTGCTTGTCTGAGACTCACAGGAGACATCTTCCGGATCAGATCATGGGCCACAACCAGCAGGTCCCGGTCCTTCATCACCTTCCTCCGAAACTCAGCAATGTCCCCCGGGTGCAGCACCTCCAGCTGCTCTGCGGCCTCAATGACAGCCTCGATGCAGCTCCTCCAAGAGCAGAGGGCAGGGATCCCAGGAGCCACTGCAGCACTGACACCAGTCCCGATGACCAGGAGCAGCTCCTGGGGCTGTTTCCGGATGAGACTTTTTAAAAATTTCCTATTTAAAAACAAGGGAAGGAGAAAACAGCAGTCAACATGGAAGTACTGCAAAATCCCAGTCGGGAAACATCTGTGATGTCCAGGTCAAACACAGCTGCACTTTGGCCCTCTCTGTTCTACAGGGACGAGCCTGGGTCTTCTCCTCAACCGTGAAGGATGTGGAATAGCCATGCGCGCTTCACCCTGAACTGCCTATGGTACCAAACACGTTTAACCTGATGTGTTCGTGCTTGTGAACAAAGAGCTCAGCCCTCTAATTCCTCTGAGGCTGCAAATGGTTGTAAATACAAACCACGATGACAAGAGGATCCTGATCGTTGTGACATGGTTTCCTGCCATTGTCAAGCCCAACCTCTCCTGGTAGGCAGTCCTCAGCAGGCATCACTTTACACCCTGCTGTCCATCTGCAGTCAAAGATGCCTTCCTGCCCTCCAATCACCTGCTGTCCGGTTTGGAGACTGGACTGTGGTCACCTCCCTGGGCAGAAAGCTGCCTTCTGGAATGTTTCTTACATTGAGGCAAAGCATGGTGAATGGCCCTGGGCATCCCTCCTGACCCAATGCTTGTGCCTCCCCATCTCTGTGGATGGCAGCAGATGTCATATAAAGTCTTAGCCGCCTTTACTTACCTTGACTTCTGTTCACTTCTATTTGTTTTCTTCACTGAATCCATCTGTGAATCCTAAAGACAAACATTAGTCAGAAACAACTTCTACTCCCCAGATAGAAGCTCTTTCTTTAGTACCCTGGAAGAGAGTAGAGTCAAAGGTCCTAGACCTCCATTTAAATTAGAATACCTCCAGTGGGGCATGGTACAGCACTGCATGCCTGTAATCCCAATATTCAGAGGCTGAGGCAGGAGAATCATGAGTTTGGGGCCAGCCTGGGCTATATAATGAGACGCTTTCTAAAAAATAAAGTATCTGAAAAATGCCATACACAAAAAGCACACCTCTACAATGTTTCCAGGTCACTGTTGCTAGCCTCAGGTAACTTAGGCTGACAGATGCTCCAGTGTCTACATCAGACCAAAAGGAAGAAAACTCACATGAGAGTGCAGAGAGATCATGGGCGCCACGCTGTGGGTTTTCTTGCTGAGAGTGTCTTAAGTACTGGGGTTTGAACTCAGGGCCTTGTGCTTGCTAGGCAGGCACTCTACCATTTAAGCCATATCCGTAACCCTTCAGCCTTACTTTTCAGGAAGGATCTCAAGTTTTGGGCAGAGGCTGGCCTCAGACCAAAATCCTCCTATCTATGGTCTCCTGCAGAGTTGGGATCACAGGCCTGCACCACCATACCAGGCTTGTTGACTGAAATGAGGTCCCAACTTTTTTCCTGGGCTGGCTTTGAACCATGATCCTCCCAATCTCTGCCTTCCGAGTAGCTGGGATTACAGGCAAATCCAGGAATCATGATGAGAGTGTCTCTTAAGACACTGCTCAACACAAATGACCATGGAGAAAGGAAACCAGCCTAACAAAAAGAAGGCAGAACCCAGTCAGGAGAAGTGCTATACTCCCTGAGGCACTGAGTACTGGGCTGAGGCAGGCCTGTCACCTCTCAGCACCACCCCCAAGTGCCAGGCCTCCTCTCAGCCAGCTAAAAACCAGCCAAAGAACAGTAGAGTAAAAGTTAATTCATGGCTGGGCACATGGCTCAAGTGGTAGAGCACCGGCCTAGTGCAAGGCCCTGAGTTCAAAACCCAATACCACCAAAAAAAAAAAAAATCAACTCAACTCGCAGCTTACATAAAAAGCAGGTCTCAATCCACCAAGTTATCTGGGAAATCTACAATTTTTCCAAAATCACTTTTCCCCACAATTCCAGATCTAATATTTACTGTAAAGAAACATACAGAAAACGAAGTTTAAGTGGCCTACAATCCTACTACCTCTGCTATTACCTGCCTGTTTCCCAGACTGCTGCATCCTAAGAACCTAAAGCACATCCTGCTTTCTCCTGTGCTGACTCTAAGCATGAGGCCGAGTTGGCTCCTCTAGCACCACCCCCATAACACCTTTCTACCGCGTACCCAGCACAGACACTAGTGCCAACACACCCTGACGCCTGGCTAGAGGCTCAGAACTGGTTATCACTTTGAAGCAGTTTAGGAGAGGCTTCTGAGCAGAACTACTGAGTTAGAGAAGGAGAGCCAGCGGGTGTGGTGCACACCTGTAATCCCAGCACTCTGGAGGCTGGGACAGAAGTGTTGTGAATTCAAAGCCAGCCAAGATTACACATCAAAGCCCTATCTCCACAAAAAACAACAGACAGCAGGGGCCCAGCACACCCTGCACTCCACGCTGGTAGTCAGAACGTAGAAGACCAACCCGGACTGAAAACCACTTGTCTACAAATGTAAGCTCTTCCCTCAGAATCAGGTCACTAAAAATAATTTTCCAGGGTAACGACACAAGGCTCAACCAGTCCACAATATCATCAGGCTGGAGAGCTAAACAAACCACCAAGTTACCGTGAAACCAGGCACTTTCCCAGGGGAAGGCTTCACAGCTTCCATGGAACTCCCTGAGGTGTCCAGGGCCTTTCCCCAGTGCAAAGAAACCTGAGCCCCCACGCCAAGAAAGTGAGGCTCTTGGAGGCTGTCACCTGCCTGAGGGGAAGGCTAGCAGAGTGAGGGTGCTGCTTGCCCCACTCCCATCTCCTTTCCCATTGCAGTGCCGCCACCAGTCATACGACCTCAAAACCGTTTTGTTTTTTTAATCTAGAAATTTTCCAAAGAAAGTAACAAACGTGGCTAGGCACCAGTGGCTCGCACCTGTAATTCCAGCTACTCAGGAGGCAGAGATCAGGAGGATCATGGTTAGAAGACAACCCAAGCAAATGGTTCTCGAGACCCTATCTTGAATATACCAACACAACACAAAGGGTTGGTGGAGTGGCTCAAGCGATAGAGCACTGTCTAGAAAGTCACAGGTGCTGAGGTTCTCCACTATAGGATATAGTCCCTCTACTATGTAGCAGAAGTGACTGTAGGTCCCAAACCTGAGCTTTTAAAGACTGACTTAACTGTCCACCAGTCGTCAGTCTAACCAGGCGTAGCATGGACTTGTGCTAACTGGCCGGGTTTACGAGGCTCTGCGCGTGCAAGCTGCAGAGTGAGACAGCTGGGCTCCAACCTGTGGTGGCTGTGGAGCTTCCTGTCCTGAGGCCCCAGCAGGGCAGAGTATGAGGAGCCCCTGCTGTCTCATCCTATCCAAGGCAAATGGGATGGTCCTCACCAACTGACCCAATGCCCCTGCCTACGCCCAAAGTAATCCACAGGCTTCAGAACAGGTACTCCTTCCTGCCTACAGGCAGGAAGGAGGCTCATCTCGTCTGCTCTACACAGCATTTTCAACAGTTTTAAAGTCAGTAGTGAGCCAGTGTGACCTAAGCCACACGCCTTTTATCGTTTATCATGATAAAGAACTTAAAAAATCCCTAGTTCCTTCAGCTATTGCAGACTGCTTTTGATTCTCCATGCATATGCATGGATCACAGGCACACATGCAAAACCTGAGTATTACGTTGACACATCTACAAAACAATATAATGAAATTAAACTTTCCCAGGCTGATCAAGTGATTTTAAAGTTTGCAAGAGAGTAAGTTATCAACATTCCCAACACTTACAGAACAAGTGAGGGCTCCACTCCTGGTGGTGGCTGCTGGTGTGCACTCAGAACCTCTCAGTGTGAGCTGCAAGCTGTGGAGCTGGACCCTCCAATGGCACGGTGACCTCAGCAGGCAGATGGGCCTCTAGCCTTCAAGACTGCCTTGGTCTCTATGGCTCAAAGTGGCTAACAGGGAAGTTCCTTATGGTATTCAGGCAGCAGGAACTGTGGGATGACACCGGCACAGCTGCCCATATTTAGACATTCACACTCTTTATAAACACATGCTTGAAGGCATTACCTCATTTCCTGTCTTTCAGCAGCACAAAGATCAGAGCCAAACCTCACAATAACCTGGAGAGTACCCGAAATCTCCCTTTGTTTTTAAACCAAGGTCCAAATGGGAGATTTCCACAGCCTGATCCTAGAAGTCTCCTTAGGACAGCCTGCCTCTGGCACCTTAAACACCACTCTTCTAAGCCAATCAGATTCTAGATAACAGTAACAAAACCGTTCAGAGGCCTTCCAGATGCCGCATCTTTCAGTTTCCTTGGTGACCATGTCGTCACCAGTTTGCAGGCCCAAAGCCAAGTCATCATAGCAACCCATTTTTTCATAAGCCCTATGAGCATTTTCTAAAAGCAAAATCAGGTCCCAAGAGATTCTTAGAAGCAGCTCCTGTCCTTTTTATCCAAAGTCTTTAGTGAAAGTCTTACAAGGATGTTTTCTGCTTAGAATATAAAACCACAAATATTTTGTAAACCAGCTATGCAGTAGCTAGCCTTATTTGGATTCCTTAGCATCCAACACTAAATAAATGTTCAGACAGAGTCCAATTCAAAATATGAACAACAGAAAGTGAATATATCATTTCATACAGCTCACAAAGCAAATCCCTCCCAGGGTAGATTGCTGACACCACCTCATGAGGCCTTGGAACACCCCTACCCTCACATGCTAACTTTGGGCTTAGTCAGGTGATTTTTTTGACTCCTGGCATATCAACAAATGGGTTGCAAGCAAAAGTATAACCAGCATTTGGACAGTGGAGCCTGACCTCTGCAATTCAGCCTGGCAAAGCCCTGTGCAGCCTACTGGAAGGATGAACACCAGAGTGGAGCTTCAGCTGACAAGCTGATACCACCCTCCACAGGGGAGCAAAGCTGCCTTGGACCACACAGAGACAGCAGCCAGATGACCACAATAGCACGAGTGGCCCCTGCAGGACAGGCTGAAGCCTTGCCAAGCCAGGCCCAGCTCTGAAGCTGCACAACTGGCTCGTGTCCAAAGGCCCACTGCTCCCCCAAGTCTTCTATACAGCCAAGAAGAGCAAGAGGCAGAGGAGGGAGAAGCCCAGCATGCTGAGGAAATTGGGGAGAGGGGTTCATGAGTGCCCAGAAAGCTTTTGGGAAGGAGAGGCAATGTTTGTCAACAACACTAATACACTAATTATTAAAAGTGACATAACAAAAAACAAAGTTAACAAGCAAAACGAATTAGAAGTGTGCAAGAACTTCTTAATTTTATTCTATACATAGCATGCACTTTAAGTGGTAATAAAAATGCAGGGAGGGGCTGGATGGAGTGGGAGAGTGCTTGCCTGGTGTGCTCCAGGCCCTGGGTTCCATCTGCAGCACCACCAAGAAAAAAAAAAAAAAGAAACCCGCAGCAGTCATAAGCTGATCACAGGGAAGGCCAGCGGCGTGCAGTAGACAGGCTCCAGTACACCCTTCTGAGTCACACAACAAGACGAGAATTTCCAAGGGTTGACTTTGTTTGAGGGAGGGGTGCGCTGGCACTGGGGTTTGAACTGAGGACCTCTGCCATGTGAGCCAGCCCTTGTCTTGTCTTAGTGGTTTTTTAGGTAGGGTTTCCCATTTTTCCCAGAGCCATCCTTAGCCTTGATCCTCCTACCTTTGGCCTCTGCAGCAGCTGCAATGACAGGCATGTATCACAATGCCCTGCAAATTAGTTGAGATGGGGCCTTGGACCTTGTTCCTCCAGATCTCTGCTTTCCAACTAGCTAGGATTATAAGCATGAGTGCAGCACCCAGCAAGGGTTGACCTCT